CTTGCCCCGTCCGATTATCACCTTTTCGTTGCCCTGGACCGTCACATGGGTGGAAAGCAGTACGCCAACCAAGACGACCTGAAAACCGATTTGGCCAACTTTTTCGTAGCGCAGCCGCCAGAGTTCTATTGGAATGGCATCCATAGTTTGCATAAACGTTGGCGTGAAGTGATAGAGGCCAATGGTGATTACATTCATGATTGAGATGATTTTGCTTTTAAATAAACTGGGTTATAATAATTGTTCATGAAATTCCGAGAACTTTCTTTCCAATCAGATACTTTCTGGGCACCTTGCATGAAAGTACCAATTCGGCACAGTGCGTCTGAATAAACTCACGGAACTTTAGTTGCGACTTTTGTTAAAGAGGAATTCATCGCGTTTGCAGTCGCTCTCCGCCATGGGGATCATACAGTAGCACAAATTTTTCTAGTCTTTTAAAATATTTTATCTCAACGGCCCGCAGATACGTCCTTGTCGTAGTCCTTTTTACCCCCACAGCGAAGTTTGCACCTGTATGCAGTTCTTATTTCCCATTCAGCTGGTGTATTAATTCGGTCAGACACCATTTTCATAACGCAACGGATACGTCATGAAATCACGCATATGTAATAATGGAAAACTTTTGTAGTAACATTATGTTTAATTTGAACGTTGAAAATAATGAACTCAATAAAAGTAAGGAAGTTTTTTTCATACTGTTGAAGTAATATTATTTTACTTATTTATCAACTTCCTAGTGAACTTAATTTATTAGAATTTATATCTACCCTACTTTATGCCCCCCCCTTTTTTTTTTTTAGCTATTTGCAATCCAATGCTAAGTCCCAGTCAAAATGGCACATGCATAATTGGTGCCCATGGCATCGAAGCACAAGTGGAATTATGTTGCCTTACCGTAAAAGTACCTTTCTGATAGAGAATGAACTTAGAAAAATTGAAAAATAAAATAACGCAGTGTTATACAATCGTAATTCCTTGCTGAAACGGAAAACGAAAGCATTAACGGCGGTAAGCCGTGAATGTTTGCATGTGTTGGGCACATATTGACAGTCATGCTGGGGAAAAGAAAAATTGACGCGACTGGAATATATGCCACGTAGTGTATATTCTTTTGGCACGAGAGCTGAGAGAATGGAGAGATGGGAGGTTTCCATTTTGACGTCACCTGTTACCCGGTCTGACAGGCTTCATGAATCTCCGCCATATTCCCTGATATACCGGAGACCGTATTCCGTACTCCACCCCGCCCTTGCTTGCCTCAGCGTCATTGCCATGAAAGATGCCCCGGTTTAGGATCCCATGAGCCTTCAGATATTTCCCCAGTTTTTTTTTTTTCCATAGGAAGCGGGACAGGGAGATGGGAATTCCCGGGTGTAATAATCTTCTATTCCTTTCATGACTCTGCTCATATACAGGCCCATCATCTTCCTCGGCATCTCCTATAACCCTATCTGGCGGTAGAAGGAATAGGTATCCAGCCACTATGGGCGATATGTGATGGGTGGGGGTGGGGTGGGAGGGGGGGGGGGTGGAAGGCTGGGGAAATATTTTCGTTCTCTTGCTCCCTGCTTCTATATATCACTTTATGTCATTAGGGTCTTATGACGTGCATTTCAATGCCCCATCTCCTCCATTCCAAGCACTGTAACACGAAGATAATCACTCTAATTTAATCCTTTCTTGTTGGATGGGCCTTTACTGGGATCGGAATGAGGAATGACCCGAAGCTCATTTGCTTCGTTATGGAAGACCATATTTGGACATTAGTGCGGAATTACTAATTCAATTTGTATTCCTGAATGCTAATGTCTTTTTTTTCTTATTACGGTTGTTCGTTGGCAACTCTCCGAACTCCGAGACGTTCTTCAAGAACTTGACTTGGCTTCAAAACAATGCAGAGTGTGACAGAGGCCAACTTTTAACTTACATATATATATCTGCTTCCATTGGAGAAATTTTCACGAAACATCGTAATAGATGTATTTACTTCCAAGTGATATTCGAAATTTAATTAGTATTCATTATGCCGAAGCAAGGCTATTTGCTTTTGTTTCAAAGAGGTTGGATGTTGAGAATGGACAAGAGCTCGCACCGGTAGTCAAGTGGAGGCATGCCTTTGAATTTCTTGTCCATTGAAATTCCTTCTTTGGGTTGGCCTATTTTGCAGATTGCTTTGATGAGTTCTTTTTTCAGTTAATGACTGATGGTTCAATAAGTATCAGTGGGGTAAAGTACAGAACTTCTAGTACATATTTTGAATTATTGCCTGTTGCCTTACTTTGGGGAAACCAGTTGATATGAAATGTTGAAGGTCTGTTGGAAACACATCAATCCATGCACAATACAAGTTTCATGAAAATAACTTCAGTGAGCTGAGGCATGTAGCTTAAAAGTCGCTGGTCTTATTTGCCATACCCTGTATATTTCTCTCTCATCCTTACGGATCACAGCAGACCGGCTGTCGATCGGAAAAGAAAATTCTGTGAAGGAAGACTCCCATTCACGAGTTTCTTGCGACTCAGTCTGCCATGCTTTAATTTGCATATGAAAAGACCTGCTCCCGTTTGACCCCCTTCCCCATGAAGAAAATGGCCTTGTGCTCGACCGAGCGGAAATTCCGGTCGAGGAAACTTCTTTGAAAAAGGTTGTCTCTTCTTCGTCAGCAAAAACGGTCAGAGACACGGCGTATGAAAAAAGAATGCATGTTAGGTCTCTTGGGAAGACACGTAATGACACTTTTTTTAGGTGCAAACTGCTCGAAGACATGTCTCGAAAAGACTCGTATTAATGGAGGTGAAGACATTAATACTTCAAAGAGGCTTATCCCAGGCTCAAACTGTCTTATCAAACCGGGGTGAAGTAAGCCGAAAGCTTACCGAACCAAGGCAAATGTGGTGCATGCGAAAACATCACTTCACCGTATATTTGTCACTCGGTCTGTTCGTGCATGAATTACATTGTTGGCAATTAAATGTTAATTTTCAACAGAAAATTGCATGTTCTTCGTCTCTTTGATGTGAGATTCCCCCAAGTGTAATGGCCATCAGCAATACAATTTCCATGGGTCTACATTCCCTAAATTTTACTTAGAGGTGGAAATGTGGTGGATCATACTGGATGTTGCTAACTTGTGTTGTTTGTGTACTAAGCTGTGTATTTGTGTGTGTGTGGTTACATAGCGATTTGAAGCCGGAGGACAAGGACCGTCGCTTACTGATTGAGATGTGGGACTGGGACCGAACGTCTCGGAACGACTTCATGGGGAGCCTCAGTTTCGGGATCTCTGAGATCCTGAAAAGCGCCGTGGATGGGTGGTACAAGCTTCTGACCCAGGAGGAAGGCGAGTACTACAACGTCCCGGTCCCACCCGAGGGCTCCGACATCGCCCAGCTCAAGAGTCAGATGCGGGTATGTCCGCTTCCCAGTCATTTCCGAGAACTTTCTCTTAGAAGTCGACCTTTTGATAGTCTTGCACGAGGGACGAGAGCGGGTAGAGCGGCAGATGCAAGAAGTGGGCATAAGGACCTAAAGTATTTTTCTATGCAATAGTTTAAGATAATATGAGCCGCATCCGTTTAGTCGGAAAGGTGCGAAGAGAGTGTTTGATTCCGTCCATTAAAAAGCTTCCCTTGGCTTGGGAGGTGGGGCATGAAGACCACTTTCTCATTTTGGGGGAAACTTCGACTTTCTAGTTTCCGTAGTCTTCTTTTGCCCCTCCATCGTCAGTTTCATTTTCTACTCTCTTCTCTTCTCTATTCAGGAGGTTTATCGGATGAGAGCGCGGAATTAAGAGCACTTAATAGGAATTAGATCTATCCACTTGTGGCGAAACGAGGAGGTTCTCTCCTATGCCCACTCTCTGTCCGCTCCTCTCAACTCCCCAGCTGTCATTGAGGTCATCGAGATCACAGAATGAGGCACACTCATCGTATTTGGGCACACAGCCTCTAATAATAAACCAGTGTAGGGAGTGCCTCAGTCTATCTCTTTCACTCCCCTTAATTTTTTTTTAAAGAGAGGATGGATTCTGCGAACTCACTTTTCCATCTCCCGAAGCCTCTTCTCCTAATTGAAATCTTATTTCTATATTCTGGAGTGGATGAGGTTAAGGCGAGGGACAAAGTTATAGACTCGTGGGTCCTAGCGCTGAGTTGCAAAGGCTTCGCATTGCATGCACCACTTGTTCAATTACCGGATTTTGTGACACACGAATTTTTGGGGCGTCCGGATCCGCTCATTCTCTCCTTTGGGAGAGGATAAAGGAAAGGAAAATGCAATCGAAGCATTCATGCGATGGACTTGAAAAGCGTGCGAAACAGGCCCAAGCAAGGTCAAACGATCAGGTGAGAATAACATAATCTAGTCCTATGCGTCTTTTGTTGTGTGTATGTTTTACCACTTTCACAGCCCTAGTGATCGCGGTGAAAATTTTAATGCGGACGCGCCTGGGCTGAATTCTTGCCTAAAGTCAACTCCTCATATCTAATTTTTTAATTAGGCCATTTTAATCGAGTCATTGAGCGAGAACAAATGAATGAATATTAGACAATCATCTACTCATTCATTTCATTTCCACTCAATCATTTCTTGCACTACCCACTTTCCCTCTTCCACCTTCCAACTTAAACTTGACTGCAAACGAATAAACATTGCCGTTTCTTTCGTGAAATTGAAATATATTATTAATGTGGACGGAAAAACCTTTTTTCTACAGGCAATATTGACATTGATTCCACGAACAATTGTAAAGTTGGAATTGAGTTGGCATTACTAAATAAATGAGTGACGAGAACTTCATCGAATCAATATGCTCGTCCAACCCCCTGGAAGGAAACTCATGATTGCTTCGCGTAGAGCTATCCATTGGGAGATCGAATCTCAGCCGTCTTGTCAGAGGCAGATGTTGCAGTCGAAAGTGTTGGGGACACGGTCTGTATCTGGATGACGTCGCCGTGGCGTCATTTTAGATAAAATCGCAGGATTTGCCGAACGCATCCTATAGATAGTCATGGATGCAGCGACGATAGCCTGCAGAGATTGTCTCGGAAGCTGAACCTCGCATCCTATCGCATGACACACATCTTGCCGGGGGAGGGGGGAAAGAGGAAAGGGAAAAAATGAAAAGGGAAAAGGAGGTTAGGGCGATTGCGTAACCACCGCACCTTGCGATCCGCCGGGGACTTCCGCAGCGTCCGGTTTCAAAGGAGGCATTCACACTTGCTCAATCTTTCCCAAGGTGTTTTACTTCTTTTAGGGCTCTCGACGTAACTCTTGCTCCTGACTGTGTCCTATCGCATTCTGTGATTGAACGATGCGACCGTTTCCCTTCTGGGACGGATTTTCTTTTTCTTCTTTATCTTATCTCCATCGTCTCCCAAAGGCCAAATTGCTCCTTTCTCCCGGTCCGTGAGGGCTACCAAAGTGGACGAAGTTGCTTCCTTATTCCCGTATCGATCTTAATCATGCATGCTATTCTCTGCCTACGCGCTACATTAGCTCGTCAGCAAAACAAATAATGAATGCGTGGGATGTTCATAGTGTAGTTGAGTTATGACACTTTTTGCGTTTTGGAGCCTGATGTTGACGTCAAGTCTGACGTAAGTCGGGCAGCGATAGTGCAGCCCCTTTGTTCGCAGACGTATGCGAGAATTTGCGGTCGTTCATTCATTTTCCACGTCGAGGAGATAGGAGAGAGGGTGTTGAAATATGGATGAAGATCCGCGGCTCTGGACCCTGTTGATGCGTGTGCTAGGCCTCGTCAACGACACCCATTCTGAATTATGAACGAAGGCTTTGTCTGCACTACCTGCATTATTCACGCGCTCTCTGGGTAATTAGGAACTTTCTGTTTTTGCTTTTTTTTTCCTTTTGCCTCGAATCACGTAACGAGGCCAACTTCCCTTGTTAGGAGGAGGAGTCATCGTCATCAACATCCTCATCCTTCTAATCATCAAAATCATCATCGTTCTCGTAATCATCATCGTGCCTGGGGTGCCTCGTCCCTTCTCTTCTGAAGTAGGAGCTTCCTTGAGTTTTTTCCTCTTGAGATTTGACAGTTTTTCCCGGTTTTTCTTTATTCTTTCTTTCATTCCCAGTCCTTCCTTTGTATTCGGTAAAGAATTCAATCACCTCCGTCACCTATTTTCGCTTTCTTCCCCACTTTCACCCTTTTCTTTTCATGCCGTGTTTTCATGCCATTTTCTCTTAGAAGCGATATGAAGCCTGAAGCCTATCGCGCCAAGGAAATGAGGCAAAGGTCCGAAAGAGAATTGGAGATGAAGAGAGAGGGAAGGGAAAAACTTGCCATCGATCCCCGAGAATGGGAGAAGCTAGCCAGGGTCTTCAGACATTTTTTTTTTTGTGTGTATCCCTTTGCCCTTTAAAAGCGTCAAGGGCCTTTCTCCATTCACTCCGTTAATGTTCGAGGATCTGGAACGAAAAAGAAAATCCGGATAAAATCCAGGCTGCGTCTGTCTTTTGTCAAAGGACCCGCTTTGCACATCTCTCGTTCCTGTTAAATGATCGGAAAAAAAAAACAGGAAAAGGCGTACAACTGAAAGGAAAACGGGGAAGCCATTCCCGGATATTAATGAGTTTTTCTCCACGTCTCCTTCGTATCAGTATTTTGCTCACTCCTAATGGAACGGAAGGGGAAAAGACGTATCGCTTCTTCTTTCTTTCATGCATATTTCAGCTTCCTCTTGAGGAGGTTTAATAATAGATTACTCGTCTTCTCTACCTGTTTTCCGTTTCTATCATCCCGAGGGAGAAAGAGGGAAAGAGAAAGATCCCGTGAATTACTCGCTCCCGGAAATTCTACTTCCGCTCCAGTAGCAGACGCCTGGATCCGCTCTCTCCCTCTCTCTCTCTCTGTCTCTCTCTTGCTTCATCTATATACATTTTTCACGATGCTTTTTGCTGTGATTCCCTTGGTAGAGGTGAGGGTTTTCTCTTGGGATGAGGGGTTCGGGAGGTTCAAGATTGGATCGCTACTGGATAAAAAATACTTGAGATTCAATGTGAAATTTTAAAAAAGGAGGATCTCATCATCGTGGCAAAGCAAAAATAGAACAATGAAGCCAATTAACTTGTGGCTAAGGAAGAAGTTATCGGTTTGAAAAGGTAATTAGGCACTGCTACGTCTATAGGGATTTACCGTGTCAGGGCCTTTGTTCTGTGATTTTCTGACATTGTATAAATCAATTTCACTTGTGGCCCCTTTTTGGTCATGTCTGCACATGCATTGATAGCATTAATATCGTGAGCCAGGTCATCCAGTGCATATCGAGTTCGGCCCAACCGTGGATGCGCAGCCTGAAATGTCCCTCTCCCGCAAGACACCTTGTCTCGACGGGGTTGCTCGTGTTGAGGGGACCAGGGGGCCGTATTCTATTAAAATCTAAAACTTAAAGCAAATTGCTCAACCTCGGCCATGCATTTGAATGGGGGCAAATATCAGTTAAGCACTTTGTTAAGTGCTAATCGCGCTTAAGAAAATAATAGAATAAGGCCCCAGTTCCATTTTGTTCTTCCTCTCCGTCTGTTATCTTCCCCTACGTTTATCTTGCAGCTTCCGCTCTTTTTTTTAGCTTTCATTTCACCTTTAGTGGATAATTTTGCGTCATTCCACCTTAAACTGTGCCTGACGTCAGTGGTAGGTACTGACGGACCTCACTCACGCTCCTTATTTGTCTTCCACAGACGTAATACAAAGGTATATGAGATTTGTCAGCTCTCCATCGTAGAGAACTGCCTTTCCTCTACTTCTGTGGGGAAGGGGGGGTGGGGGGGAAGCCAGTATTTGCTCGCGTATGAAAGTCTAAAGCGTATCTTTCTAAATATATGTATGGTTCTCTCCAGATATCCTTTTACCCTCAAGGGAGAGGGTGTAGGCCTAAGCTGTCGATGAAAAATGTACCCGTCGGAGCCTCGCATATCGCCATGGCACCCAATTACCCGCCGGATCTCCCTGCTCTCATGCGAGGGAATGAAAAGGAGCATGGTCGAGGGCCCTACATCGAATAATGTACCGCGACCCGTTACCGGATGCTGTAGTTCTAAGAGAAAAATGGGATACCAAGTCTATCGTGGAAAGACCCCTGCTACTGAAAACATTTTTCATAGTAATTATTGAATAGATGGTACCGTTACGCATGTTGGACTTGCTTCTAAACGATGGTTCCTTTCTCTATATGGAGGACGGAACTCAATTAAGTGTCTTAAATTGACTTTTTAATTTTATCGAAAAAAATCCTTGTTTCCATTCAATGCTAAAAGCAGGGGTGGATAAAAAGTGGGAAAACTAGTAAATGGGATACTTGACTAAATTCATTGAAGAAAAGTCTTATTCTCGCAGAAGTTCACACAACTTGATTCATGAAGTAGTAGAGAACAACTTTAAATGGAGTCTCTTATTGCGTGGGAAGGCTGTTTTCAAGCTCCAAGACCGTTAATGGGGGAAAAAAAACGGCCACGGAGCTGTTTTCGCATCGAGAAAGAAGAAAACTTGACTCAAATCTCCCGCATATTGAGAGGGAAGCGTGTCTCTCCTAATTTATACAAATGAGACAATTAGTACCGAATTAGGAATTAATTCTGAAGAGAGCATTGGTGTTCTGCCATTTCAACGATCATCAGAGATAAAAGTTCTTAGACCGTTAAGAGACTCTCTCCCTTCTTTGAGTTTTGAGATTTTAGATCATTCTCGAACTCAAATAAGGAGTACATAAACAAGCACGTGCTGTTACTTTTTGTTCAGAATTTTCCCCGTTTTTATTTGCAAAAAAAGAAAATGATAAGTAGGTCTATAACCAATTTTAATGACCAGAATTATCCGGTGGAATTTACCAGTTACGAACGAACCCTGGTATAAAACTTATCGGCCTATGAATAAGTCTGTGAAAGTGAATCATCAGCTAAAAATACATCATATGCGACTAATAACCGAAATATAATGAAACAACAGCTAGTGAATGAGAAAAGAAGTTAGATGAAGTCATGGAAAAGACGGTGAAAGGATAAAAGTTGGTCGGCTGATGTGTTGACGTGCTGCGTTGTCTCGTGCCGACAGAAGAGTTCGTTTCTGCGAGAGAAGCCCCTGATGCCGCCGGTGACTCGGGACTCCAACAACCTGAGGGAAAAGGACGTGATCCGGGCCACGGACTTCAACTTCCTCATGGTCCTCGGCAAAGGATCCTTCGGCAAGGTATCGCTCGACATTATTTGCCTTCTACCTTCTGGGATTTGGACAATGATTAGTTGCACTGTTGACGTATGGTCATAACGGACCGCGTCTCGTGGGAAAAGTACCGTTACTTCCCCGTGTGCACTCTGGGAAAAACTTACATAATGTTAAAGGTAGTACATATTCGTGTGAAAATCGGTGTCTTTATTGGAGGCAGTCGCATCAAATGCACAGTAAATGGAGAAGGGAGGTTGCGGGGCCACCAGGGAACGTTGCAGAATCTTTGCTTTCATCTTGTGCCTGCATCAATGATTTGGGCTGGGCTATAAGGCAGTTCTGCATATCTGAATATGCCGAACGGTTCTACCCGGAACGTTTTTTTTTTTCTCATGGCCAAGTCTCCCCCCAAGTCTTTTCCCCGAAGCATATACAGTGATGGAAGGAGAAGGGGGTGTAGTAATAATCAACTCCTGACGAGGGAAGGGAAGGGATATATACGGGCCTCTTCCCTTACAGTAAGGATTATTATTCTTCTTATTACGGGAGAGGGCGATGATATGTGTCAAAGAATGACGGGGAACAGGCTGCTTCTCCTCCTCTTCCTCCTCCATTTCCATTTTCTCTTCCCCTTCCCTTCCTCTCTATCGGCTATGATTACATGAGCCGGGGATAGATTCAGATTAGTACGGAAGACTGACATCATTCCCCGCACCGACGGGGGGAAAAATCAATATTGCCCTACCGAACGTCCTGAAATTTCCACGCGCGTCTCTCACTCTATTTATAGACGGTTTTGACGTCTATTCTTCCTGAGTTCATGTTGACATGTTCTTCACTATTTCATGGATCAGTGTCCATACCTGGAATGCGCCTTTGTGTGGACTTTATGGTTTTGTCATCTCATTTCCCTCATTGCTGATGTCATAAAGATTACTCTTTCTCTGCTCAAAGATTTTGTGATTCAGTGATCACGTCAGATAAACTGTGCACGTTGATATCCCCCCCTCGTAAAACTCGTCTTGTTTGTAACTCGTTAATATAAATACGAACTTGTGAATCCCCTGAAAGCTAATCTGGAAAGGTCCTTGGTGGGAACCGGGTCGATGGCTCCCTGCAGATCTCATGAATGGGGAACGGGGTTCACCTTTGACCTTTAAACCTTTTCCCTGGGCGCAGTTAGTCTCCCATGGGCACTCCATGCAATCCCTACCGAAAGTTACATCCGCACGAAATCTCTCGAAATCTTCTCTTCTCAGTATAATCTGTGCTTAGAAAAAAGGGATTTCGTTTTACTTCCTTTATCCGATCTTCACCGTGTTTTTACCTGGAGACGGTTTCCATGACGACCGCATCCCCTTTTTGTCTTTCTACCCTCCTTCGGGAGATGGCAGTGGTGAATTTTTCACGTCCGCTCTCGTCGGTGTTCTGTATACGAAAGAGTAAAGAGAAGTCTCGAGTCCATTTCCCTCGGGCGAGTCTTCCTTTTTCCGTCGCCAGCAATGAAGATCAAAGGCGGGCGAGGATGATCCGATTAAGGGAAAGGAGAAGGAGAACCAGGCATCTTCTTGTCCCTTCCAATCACGATCTCCAGGCGATAGACGATGGCTGATGGTTTTTTCTCCTGGTTTATCCACAATCTGGATTCCATTTTTGCCGCACGTCTACCCACTTGAGGAGAATGCGAAAGAAGTCCCATGCCATGATCTCGGGTCCCGTTCGCGCGCTCACCAATGAGTCATCTTTAATCGAGGCACAGGTGTGTCGACATACTGTAGAAGCGGAAATTTTGCTTTGAGCAGTTGTCTTGGATGCCATTATCAGCACCCGGTGTAATGACAGGTGGTGCCTCAGGATGAGAAAGGATGACATAAACCTGGTGGAAAGCGAAGCGTTCCTTCACGTGGTTTCTCATCCGGATAAAACGTGGGACAATAATAAAGGAACCACGTGTAGATCCATTTGGAGGCGATTAAGCCGACTTCACGCAAAGCTGAAGTGAGCTGCAACCCGAAAGGCTGCAGTTGGGCTCTGGTAGAGACGTCGGGAATTTCATTCAAATGATTGTAAAAATTCATTTAAAAAAATTCAGAGACACAACAGGTGAACCGCAGGATGAGAGCCTCGATGATCTGTGAGGTTTATTGTCTTTGGAAAAGGTGTTGCTGGCGGAGAGGAAGGGGACGGAGGAGTTGTATGCGATCAAGATCCTGAAGAAGGACATCATCATCCAGGACGACGACGTGGAATGCACGATGATCGAGAAACGCGTCCTCGCCCTTGCCAGCAAACCCCCTTTCCTCGTCCAACTACATTCCTGCTTCCAGACCATGGTATTCACATTAGTATAACATCTTCCTCTTCTATCTCCCTCCCTCTCTCTTCCGCCCAAAGACAATGGAAAGACAAGCCCCCACCCTACCACCAACATTTTGTGAGAAGGGGAACTTCTTTTGTTGTTCTGGCTGAAATTCTCTCAGTTCGTCTTGGAGTAAAAGCTAGGGTGCGTCTGTCTGTGCGAGGGTGTCACTTAATGGGTGCTCCCGCTTGTGGCTCTGGCAGGACCGTCTCTACTTTGTGATGGAGTACGTGAATGGTGGAGACCTCATGTTCCAGATCCAGCAGTGTGGCAAGTTCAAGGAACCCGTCGCTGTGTACGTTCCTCAACCACTTATATTATTATTTACCAGCAGAAAACAAGAAAAAATATTATGAGTGAATGAAATCCAATCAAGCGAAATATGTTGCAAATAGCGAATATTGCGAGAATAAAGTGCAAGGACAAATATGGTACCACTTAATCATGATACTGGTTAAGTTGAATGTATGATGAATTAAAATGTTGTAAACACTGAGCGATCATGGGTGCAGGAATGAATTTAATGAAATGGCTGTGATTGCAGGTTCTACGCAGCAGAGATAGCGGTGGGACTTTTCTTCCTGCACGCACAGGGGATTGTCTACCGAGACCTGAAGTTGGACAACGTCCTGCTTGACCAAGAGGGACATATCAAGATTGCAGACTTCGGCATGTGCAAAGAGAGCATCATCGGCGAGAAGAAGACGAAAACCTTCTGCGGTACCCCCGATTACATCGCTCCCGAGGTATCCGTCGCTTCCGTTTCTTCCGGATTCTATTCCCTCAAGTCTCGCTATTTCAGATTTTCAAATTACTCGTATGCAGGCGCACATTAAAATTGGAAAAGAGAATAATGGGCAATAAATATTTTCCGAAACGTGGAACGTAGGTGTCTGTAAGCCATCGTACCTACAGTACGATTTCTTCATATTTCATATTTTGCTCAGATAGAGCTTCACTGCTGCAGCCATTTGGTGCCGATGATTGATGAAGGATCCTTGAACTGAGATCAGAGCAACGCTGATACAGGCCAAAACGTTCCTGGCTTGGCAAGAGTTTGTGAGCCCTCCATGCATTCGATATTAATATTTAAAAAATCCATGCTAGGTTTCCATTCTAATCTTCAAGGGCGAGCCAGTTGCTAAGAAGTTAAAATTATGCGAAAACTTGAGTATTTTATTTTAAAGTTCCTGTGAAGTCTGAGGTATCATTTCTCTCCTTTATTAGAATGGCTCCTCCATCTGGGAGGATCATTTCCTGTCTGCTCATTTCCTTGGTAAACAGCCAAGGAATATGTATTTCAAGATACACTCCATACACGGAAAAACCCGTAGGAGAGCATTTAGAATCATGCATGACAGCCTTACAGTACCGGAAAATTTTTTTATGGATTTTTAAAATTCTAAACTGCTGCTGCAGATCCTGCAGCAGGAGAAAATCATAAATTAGAACTTCAAATAGATTTCCTGCATGATGTGTGGCACAGTACTTTGGCTTTCATGTGGAATATAACTCACGACATATTTCTTGCTTTTGCTAGCTATGCCATTAAATGGCATTACTCGAAATTTTCTATACCTTGGTTGTCGTTTCCAGGAAATCCATAATGCATTTTCCAGTTATGTATAACTTACACTAGACGACAGTAAAATTTTCGTACCAACGGAAAGCAAGAAATACCAATAAAGGATGCTTCGTGCTCACACATGGAGCATGAGAGTTACCAGGCAGGAGGGGGAACGAGCGGTAGTGACTTGAGAATTTTTTTATCTAGACTTTGAGTGGATAAAAGGTGTAATTTCGTCTCGAAGCTGCCGGACAGAGAAACGAACTCCATTTTTCCATAGACTCCAATGTCTTATCGTTCCGCTGTTTTTGGTTCATCCATGCCAATCTATGCATTCATGTGCAGTGTTTACTGCTGTTTACAGCTGTGATGTTCTAAACCTCCTTTATGGTCAAAATGAATGTGATTTTTCAGTATTTCTCAAGTGCGGGAATTTTTTTGTCGACTGGTGTATATTTTAGAAGGCGTCCATTGCGCATTTCAGAGGAAGGCCTTCAGTGGTCACAAAGGAGTCACTTTTTAACCCCATGTAGACGAATTTCTCTCCATCTCTCTCTGAATTTTCAGGGTATACTCGAAATAGGATTGCAACGGGTTAAACCATTTCTATTACAGTACCAGAACAGTTCTTATGGACTTCTGTGTTCAAAACTTGATTCATTATGATTTTTCTCCTGTTGCTAAATCTGCAACAAGAAAGGGAGGAAGCCCATAATACATTTTCCAGTATTGTATTATGCATCTTAGCTTCATCTTGTTTGCATATGTACATTCTGCTTGAAATTGACAGCCTCTGTCAAAAAGCAAGGGCCTCTTAAATCCTAGAATTCAGTTAGCAGAAATGAGTAAAATCAGAAAAATATCAGGTCTCTTGAGTGTAATTGCAAATTTTCAAGACATTAGAAGATTGCAAAGTAATATACCATTACTTGGGCTACAAAATTTAGTGTATCATTGCATGTAGTGCCTCCCCCCTGTAAGACCACTGAATGTATTCAAACTCTGAATGTGAGTGAGGTTGGAAACGAGCTTGCTGTTGGGTTCGGCAGATCATCCTGTACCAGCCATATGGGAAGTCAGTTGACTGGTGGGCGTACGGAGTGCTGCTGTATGAGATGCTGGTGGGGCAGCCCCCGTTTGATGGAGAGGATGAGGAGGAGCTCTTTGCTGCCATTACCGACCACACCGTCTCCTATCCCAAGGCCCTCTCCAAGGAGGCTAAGGATGCCTGCAAGGGGGTTTGTGTCTGCCTGATCCAATCAGTCTGTGAACCATGGGGTGAAAGCCTCTGAGATCTATTGGCTCCCTGCTGAGAAAGAGAATACATGTGGTATGATTCAATGAGAGACAGTTGTTTGGTGGGAAGTGGGAGGAAAACTAGATTTGTGAACCTCTTATTGAGTGTCAGAAATCCTGCCAGAAATGTAGAACTTTCTATTGACAATGCAGGGGGTTTATAAATCTCTTGTGCAAATACTTGTTTTGATGCTTCAACTATCTACTTGCGAAGGAGTACCGAGTTTAGTCTCAATAGGAATAATAGAGTTCGAAAGTAGGATTCAAGAAACCTTTGTCCCTTTCCTAATGTTTTCCCTACTTCTTTTAGTCGTTTTTTCTCATGTCTTGGAGAGGAATGAAATGTGATCCCCTGTAGAGCTTTCAGCAAGAGTCAGGGATATTTTGATCATGGAGATAATGCAATAAGTCTACTCTTGTTATCTATATGAAGAGATCCAAAAACTCACACTAATGGAGTTTGTAGCACTTGGGAGAGCGAATATGAAAGCTTTCTGCATTATTATTGCTAATATCAGTTACAAACCATCTAGAGTCTAAAAAGGCAAACGGTCATACATTTATCTCTGCCATCCTCAATTTCTGTGTGAACTGATAGACTTTGTGTATGGAGCTTACCGTGTGTATATTGTGCCCAGGAGTGCTAAGTCTCATCCACACACCAGGTATTGATTGAAAAACCTGGTGACAACATGGTCTAGCTGTACCCATTCCCAAACCAGCATTGTGAGAAATAGAGGTCTCAGCTACTCAATTTTTCTGCAAAACTACTTATTCCCCTGAAAAGTCAAGGCAGTTGAAGCAAAGGCTTGCATATACATTTGTACATGTAAAAGTTGACTTTCTGTTGATAGCACTCATGATAACTCATTATGGTCTTACCTGCAATGGAAAGGTATAATTTGCAGTTTATTTTCTGCTAAAAAGAAATTTATATTCAGTCATGGAGCTTCCTCCATGACTTCCTCCATGGAGCTTCCATTCAGCATGGAGCTTCCTCTAAAGGACTTTACAGCAGTTCATGAGATGCATGTTTATGCAGTTCCTGACCAAGAACACTTCAAAGCGGCTCGGCTGTGCACCAAAGGGGGAGGAGGATGTGAGAGTTCACCCATTCTTTCGTCGCATTGACTGGGAAAAAATTGAGAACCGGGAAGTGCAACCCCCTTTCAAGCCTAAGATTGTAAGTCTGTCTTTCTCATTTTATCCTGGTTCCTTCCTGTATGCTTTCCTTCCCTTGCACCTTGCATGACACCTGGCATGCCATCATTCTACACTTCACTCAATTCCATAGTATAGCATGTAGATATTGTGTCTCAAGCAAATGCTGAAAGACTGACAAATTATGAATTATCAATTCTTTTAGTCCTTGAAATGGCAATATTTATTGTGTGATTTGAATCTGTATTTGATAAATAATAATTTCCTGATGGAAATTGAAGTGCTGTGTTTGCTGGGAATTGATCTTGTGGACTGTTTCTTTTGTCATGACAAGAGGATAGTTGTTAAAATATGAAAAATTGAGATGCCTCTAGTTCACTTCATGGGATGTCTTGTGTAAAAAAAAAAGAAAGTTAAAGAGGCTTGCAATATTGAAGGAAATGATTGAAGTTTCATTTTCCATGTTTCAACTGGAGATTTATTTATGGTGCCTTTGATGGAATGCCCCTGACTGGTCAAGATTTTTTCCTGCATGGGTTTCAGTCTTTCCAGGAAAACGTTCTCTTTGGAAGTTTGTATTGTTGGAAGGCATAAAACAGAAATTGTATCATGCTTTTGTAACCTGTCTGATTATATTCAATCTAGTTTGCCTTGCCTTGAAAGAAGATTGTTCTCACTCTTCTTCTTGTATATGATGCTCAAGTGATCCTTCTATCTGCTTTCTCAGTCAGTGAACAGAGAAAAAGGGAGATTTCGATGCTCCCGTGTTTTATTCTAGGTGGTGGAAGTGACTCGTTGGTGTTCCTGCATGCCCAGGTTTCCTCCATCATTCCTTGTACCCTTGCTTATCTTTCTTCTCATTATACCTCTACCAGGCATCTAAATTCTCCCTTGAGCTTTCTCTGTTTCTCTGTCTGCTTGCTCTGCTTCAGACCCCATCCTTTTCCCTAAATCAAGTTTTCAGGTTTTTCTCCATGTTGGGAGAGATTTGCAAGTTTTTCATTGGAGAATTCCTTGAATGCTTCAAAGCATGGCAGTTTGCTTACTAAGAATTTTCCTTGCTGAAAATTTCCTTTTTCATACATGAGTAAATTATGGAAACTTTTTTCTTCATGAGTCTTGTAAATTGATGAGAAAATTTTAAAGAATGTACCATAATTGCTCGCATAAGCCCTGCACTTTTTATTCTGAAATTCTGCTTTATTCTACTTTTACTTTACTATGATTTAGGGTATTAAGATACTCTCCAAATTTAAGAATAAAAGTACAGGTATGTTGATGCAGTGATACTGTATTTCTGCTCATTTACTGCTAGAATAATCAATATGGTGATTGCAAACAAGTGCTGAGTGCAAACTGACTGGATCAGTGCTTGCAGGCTTGATCTCTCAACACGAAGGTGGTTTCTCATAGGCCAGAGTTTCCCAGGAGAGCACCCCTGCCAGCACAGCTGTTCTGGCAAATGCATAAACAACTGTGTCTTTGTTTTTCATCTGATTTGGACTGAATGACCCATGGCAAACCACTTTTAATAAGGTGTAAACATGTGCAGGTGATATGCATCAATTTTTTCCCCCATTAATTTAATATTGAAAATAAGGGTGCAGGGCTCATGCACATAAATATGGTATTTATTTTCATTCCATCCATTCACCCATATTTCCCCATACTTTGTTTTGTTTTTGGACATTGTGTTGATTTCTAAAGCCACTCAGCAGTTATTATAATTTTTTATATTTTTAATTGTTTTCTCATTTTTATTGATTACTTCTTCAACTTTAATTTTATCCTGGCTCTTCAAAAAGTTTTTACCATACCCTGACCTATACCGGATCTTCCCAATTCTAGAAAAACCCTCGATCGGGCGAGAACTTTGACCCGATCTTCACCAATGCCAAGATGGAGATGTCACCAGTGGACAAATCAGTGATTCACAACATCCCCAAGGACACCTTTCAGGGTTTCTCATTTGTCAACCCCTTCTATGCCCCCATCCATGCCAAGGAGAAACCTCTCAAGCCCTAAATGAGCCTAAAGGACATTATTGTCCACTGAGGACTTTGTTTTTTCCCAATTAGCAAATTGGGCACCTGAAACAGATGCTCTGATTGCCCATGTCAAAGCATATTATTATTATTGTTGTTGTTCTCATGATTACTTGTTCCTCAAAATTTTATGCGTTGTTTCTCCTGCTGAAATCGCACTGCTCACTCTGCCATTCCATTGTGCCAAAACTTACTCTAACAAAATTACTTGCTTCCTTTCAGTCCCCAATACTTGTCATGAACAAATTTCTTGCCTCCTGTTGTCCCCAATACATTTCATAGTGTATTAATTTTGTTACCAAAGTTGTTTGACCTTGACCTTTGACCATGTTGACAAAGGATCTGAGAGAACTGTGGCCTCCCCTTGCATGCATGTAGAAGTCATTGCCATTGCTTTAGCATCACATTAGTTGCTATGCATGATTTTTCTGTATCTTACCTTGTTCTTTGCATTCTGATGGTCAACAATAAGTTGCTCAAGTCCAACATAAGGCCAAGTCCATGAAGTTTCATGTGTTTCTAGTCATGCAATCATAATGCACTGATATGAATTCCTTGACATGCTTCATGTTCCAATTTATGCTGATGATTTCCTTCACTGGGAATTTTCTTGAACAATACATGAATAAATCATCATTCAGGCATTCATTTTGTCATTTGCTGTCATTGGAAAAATCATCTGTTTGCCTGATGAAAAAAATTATATATGAGACTTATTTGTTCATATTGCCCAGCATTTAGGATGGAGTAAACGTGAACCAGGAAGTATGGCTTGACTAATACTTTCCTCATTCTTGAAGTAGCAGAAATTGTATATTTTGTAAATTTTGTTAGAGCTCATTTGTATCATAGAATGTTAAATATTGCTGAAGAGGTCCATGATATGTACCTATGTCATGCAAGCACTGCAGTTCTTTGTATTTACTTACAGAAAGAAATGATCTCATTTTGAATAATATCCCAACTCTTTAGTTCTTTCTTTTGCCATGTATTAACTACTTCAGATAAAATGCTGGGTTTTTAGTTAAAATGCACTTTATAGTGATCCAGTTACTTTCTTATCTGTACATTCAGATTCACAGAGGAAATTACCTGGAATGAATTTGTGCTGTGCTCAGCTGGTACATCTGCATATCTTTCCAAAATGTTGTTACTCATTCATAGACCCATGACCCCACCTTGTGCAATGTGACAGAGTGACCATGGTATGTGTGTGCTATATCATGCAGAGACACAGGAAGGACGTGAGCAACTTTGACCGCCAGTTCACATCAGAGAAGGTGGAGCTCACGCCGACAGACAAGGTTTTCCTCATGAACCTGGACCAGACAGAATTTGCTGGCTTCTCCTACCTCAACCCCGAGTTCATCATCCACATATAATCGCTCTTGCTCTCACATTTCCTATTATTTCTCTATTGCATATTTTTGTCTATTACTTTCAGAAGGCCCTCATGCATGATCTGAAATCTCATCCATGTTTCCATTAGCATATTTTCCACTGTTTATGCTTGCATTATTCTCAGCATGCCTTGGACATTTTTATGAGATAGTATTCATTCAAATATTTTAAAAATTTATTTACATGTTCCTTTTTCAAATAATTCATATACACCTAAAAAAGCTTCCCCAAATTAAATATGAGAACCAACCTCACCCAGATTTTTATTAGACTTTGGATGAACCTTTGATGGTGTGCAGAGGTCCTCAGAGCCACTTTGCATGAAGAAATTATTGTAGCATGTTATGGCATTCTCTGGAAGTTTTCTAAAGTGAAGATTTAATAAAGAGTAAAGATTTCTTAAGATATTTTTTCGTGAATGTTCTACCCAAAGGTGATGTAATGTCCAAATTCACTTGGCTATTTTTAACCCCTCAAGCCAGTCATTTTCTTAAGGTTGAAAATATGAAAGCCAAAGGCTATTTTAAGACGATAATTAGTTTGCATGCATCTAGCTGATGCATGCTAAACATCCCATTTAACCTATGTCGATCAAATGCTTGGATGATTTGAAATCTCTGCATTGCAAATCCCCTCAATCCTGGGTTGAGGTTGAGACCCTCAATTGCTCAATAGTGAAGGGGATTCCTATGACATGCAAGACTCCATGCATTGATGTTTCTTGTGCAAGACCAATTCACCTTTCCTATCATTGTCATAGGAATATTTGAGAGTTTTTATCAATATTTTCCTTGGGCAAACCTTGTATTTTTCCCTCTATCTCCTTAAAGACAGGTTGAGGATTCACATTGGGCTCATAGTATTATGATTGTTCTGGGATGCCTCATAAAACTTGCTTTCTGCATTATAAATTTCCTATGAGGTTCATCCTAAAATGATCTCAACATTATGAGAACTTTGTCAATCCTAGCCATGCACTTTCCACTTTTCATCAATAATATTGAACAGATGACTGAAATGAAAGTGATTGCTTAACTTTGCTTACTAGTACACTGCATATCGAATTGAGGTGTATGTATTTCATTCCAGCTTGAGGGGTTAAAAAGAAATTCATTATCCTCTTGAATGATGTTGATTGATCGTGTATGATTACAGTTCTTTTAACTTTGTGGGAAGAGCAGCCATCCACATATCCTAAAGCATTGTTAGGGCTCTTTCTTAACATTGGAATAAACAGAAATGTGAGTATTACTGCATGTGGTAAGTGAGTGATTGTTCTTCCCACGAAGAAGCTTCGCAGATATCCTTGCAACCTTGCAGAAGCCCGCGTTCCCATCCATTCCTACTCATGTTCTTTCTTTCCTTCCTCTGCTTGTGATCTCAAGGTGCATCCCCTTCCCAATTTTTTTTTATTATCAGAGGCTTCAGAGGATTTAGATAGAAGACTTATTTTGTGTCAAGCCGGCCTTGACCTCCGAGTTGTTGCTTGCCTTGGGATGACTCGTTTGGCTTCTCTGTAGTATGTAGTTAGGGCTAGGGGTCTCAATTGCCAGTTTTTTCTTGATAAAAAACATTGTATAATGATATGTTTTGCAAGGCATCTATTGAGGGCAAGGAATTATATCTTTATGAAGCTTGAAAATGTTTCAAATTGATGTAATCGATTCAAAACCATATTGGATTGGATTAATCGATATTGCATCTGGATTTCTTTCATATTTGGAAATACTTGGTCGATATCTTTGAAGCTTTGTTTGCTTTGATTCTATCATGGGACACTTGTAGATATAAGCATGAAATGTGAAGCTTGAATGACATCCATCGCCAAAATCTTCAGAAATATTCTACCTGGAAGTACGGGAGAAAATGACTTGGTGGAAGAGGATTTTTCGTGCATCTTTGATTGGAAACGTCCCAGCCTTCTCCCATTGACATTGCCAAACGGTGTCTGACTTTGGGACTATATACCGACTTGTATTTGACCAGTCGATGCGAATGAAACCCAGGAATCTTTGAGATTCTCCCACCCCATCCTTTTCCCTAAATCAAGTTTTCAGGTTTTTCTCCATGTTGGGAGAGATTTGCAAGTTTTTCATTGGAGAATTCCTTGAATGCTTCAAAGCATGGCAGTTTGCTTACTAAGAATTTTCCTACCCCCCCCCCCCATCCCATGTTCATCTCCCCTTGACTGTGATGACTTTTTTCTCTCTTTCCCCCATCATGTTCATCCATTCTTGTCATTATTGAAGAAGTTGTCTCATATTCATGAATTTCAAGCTTCTGATTCTCGCTGCCCCCTTGTAATTCCCTTCTCAAAGTTTTTCCCAGCATCCTGAGGATCGTGAATATTATTATTATTCTGCCATTTCCCTTCCTTGGAGAGATAAGGAAATAAAAAATGCTTCGTTTATTCACTGTTTCCTCCTCGTTGGTCCCTGCGATGCGCTCAGCGACCCCCTCCGCCCTACCAGACCGTGTGACACATCAAATGAATATATGCTAATAGCCAATTTCGGATGGCTTGGCCAAAAGTTGTTGACATGGTGGCCCGCCAGTCTAATTTGTCCGGCTCGCGAAGCCCTCTTCAACAGCCGGCTTCGGAAAAGCACTACCGAATCTCAACCTGTTGTTTTTTAAATTTAGGTAAATAAAATTATGTTTAATTAGTGTGGTTCCCAACCATCGCTGAATGACTCCATCCGACCCTCAGCTTAATTGAGTTTGATACTCCTGGACATGGCTTGTCCGCCTTGCCCAGAAGTGTCAAACTCAAGCGATTTACCCTATGTAGAAATTGGCACAAGAAGCAGTCGGAGAGGATTAGACTAGAACACATTAGGTGACTTTCGTGGAAGGGATGATGGAGAGAGTTTGGACAACCCCGTCCGAGTCTCCGCGACTTGGGATCGGAGGGGGTTTGAGTCACGTGATTCATGGATGTCGTTTTGACTCCACCGTTCAGCCTCACTGTCCCAGATGAAGTGTTGAAACTCCTGCTTCTGCTGGTACCATTTCATGGCACCGACAAAAGTGGGAGTTTACTCAATGCGAAAAATAATCCAGAAAGTGAGATGCAAGAATAATCATAGGGCATTCCTGGCTGAATGGATGCATTTCCCATGCAGGCAGTGGAGGAAGAATGGAAATTCCGTAGCTGAAGGCCTACTATGGGTTCACCAGAAAATCATGGTTGAATGAAGCATAAGGAAAAGCAATTTCATGGAGTTAGAAATCTCATTTGCGACTACAAAGGCCAACTGCTTTTCCATAAACAAAGGAGGCCCCGTGGGAGTGAACGAGTTAGTACTGATTCGTGGTGCAGCTTTTTGGAAGAGCTCGCACGTCTGGAATGGAAATGGCGAGTTGTATTAACTCTCTCCAACGACTCTTGAGTTAGGACATCATCCGCATTCTTCTCGATGAATGGACCCCGGGGAGCTCATCCGTCTTCATCTTCCCCGCGAGTCTCTTTCTCCTAATTCCGTGCTTGAACCTGTGCGATTCCCGGGACAATCTCGTGACGGGAAGCGATTCCGTTCGAGGCGTTTTTTTTTTTTTCGTGGCAAATGATGGGTCGGTTATTTGCAGGCACCTGAAGAATTACAGATGAAAATTATGCGGAGACTTGTGATTTCATCGGTCCTGAGCAAAGGAATCAATTCATTCCCTTCGTAGACGTGCAATCGCGAGTTTCGATTCTTCCATTAGATTCAAAAATCTTCGTCCAAGTCCGATTCCTTTCCGCTCTTAATTTCTCTCTCTACTCGTTTCAAGTAAGTGTGCGTTCGGGGTACAATTTACTTTATTAGGGATGGAGTACCTTATCGGCACTGGTGTTGAGTCGTTCGGGCATTTATCCATTTGCAAATTTCTTTCAACATTGTCTCCCTCTGAATGGAGACGGTTATTCCCATAAGTTTGATTTTTCACCTTTTTTTTGGAAGGAACTGAAATTTGAAGTTGGAGTCGACCAATTCCTTGCCACCAGCACAAAATGGAATTGGATTTCAAGTCGTGTTTTTGTTAAAGAATTAGAACGGTGAGTTAATTAGTTTTTTGGAGGATTTGTACCAACGCTGACCCTGGCATGGGAGTGAAGCCATAGTACTTCTCACAAGTACTTCCTCGCAAGTACTTCTCATAAATTGCTTGCGTTGGCAAGCTCTTCTCTTCTATTTTGGTTATTATGTGCCAGGATTCTGTTTGGCATTAAGTGCTTGAGTTTTCTGCGACGCTAGAGGTGGTGGATTCTGAGAATTCAAATCAGCAGGAATTGGAGCTCCTTCCTGAATCTTTGCAGAAATTTCTTTTCTGGAAGATTTTGTTTGGCATCTTGGTGTCTTTCTGCCCTTCGATGAATCCATCGATCTCCCACTACCACGAACTGGATGTTATAAAGAAAACATGCAGAAATCCTTTATTCACTTCTTCATTCTCCACGGATTCACTGTGAGGTTTCATTAGCTTATATACTTGATTAGAACTGTGAGATCAGACTGGCATTTTACCTCTTGAACCCCTCTCCCCAATTCAATACGAAATCATGCAGACCACCCTAGAGCCTAGACAAAATCGGCGTAACGCAGCGAACTGAAGCAATAATATATCTACAGGCAACATCGAGCACAAGTTTACCCAAATATCCTCAGATTCGGATTTCCTTTCTTCCGAAATATCGACCGGCATCGCATCGACCGTAAAGCTCTACCTTGTACCACAAATACCGAGATCTAAAATAAAAACACGACGCAGATCTGAAGACGCACACGCCGCAACCCCCTATCGCTTCCGGACGTACTTGGCCCAGAGGAACTTGGCCGCCATCTCCATGATTCTCAGGAGCGAGAGGAGGGAGACCCCGAGGAGGAGACCCAGGGATCCACCGACTTCTCCCACGAACTGCGACAGGTCGTATCCCCACTGCTCGGACACCACGGTCACCGCCCCGCTGGAGAACATTCAGCGACTTTCGTCAGTGGGACTCCGTCCGTTGCGTCATGCGAAAGGGTCTCTTTCGATCCGTTTCCGAAAATGAGTGGGAAAAGTTCCTCTGCTTCGCATCAAACCGGTTCCAAGCGCTCAAAACCCTATGGGAACCGTCCGCTTCTGGCAAAACCCTTTTCTAGCATTTTTGAAACGAGAAATTTAAAACGTTACGTTCGTTTAGACAAGGCACGTCGAGTTTTTCAATTGTCGCCAAGTTCGAAACATACACGTTTTCCTCAATCTTCCTTTCTCATTTCCGCTCCTCGATCGATGCGGCTTCCCGGAAATTGGTTCGCACCGAGAGCGAACGTCGCTCGTCCGGAACCCCTGCACTTTTTCCTTTTCCTGTCTCGCTTTGCCATTTTAAGCCATCTTGTTTAGCACCTGAGAATATTAGCCTCTTCTTCGACCGATATATTCACAATTGAATACTAATGAAAAGGTTTCTTTACTTTTCGATGTCGCATGTTTAGTACCAACTGCGGCGCACACTAGTTCGTGTTAAAATGGGAAAGTCGAGCAAGTTCCGAAACACATCGTCATTCGAGGCATTTAAAAAACTTAAAAAAAATATGTTGTCGACAGTTTGAATGAAGAAAGAAAAGAGACGAACTTGGGGAAGTAGAGGATCACTTCTCCGGTGCTGTCTTTGCTGTACCGCTCGAAGAAGGCGCGGTTGAGGACGGCCGTGGAATACTGGCGGAAGGTGCACGGGCGGGGACACGAGCAGCCGAACGACTCCTTGAAGCGAGGCTCCATTTTTTTCTCCTCGATCAGGTAGCGCTGCAGAGGCATGACACGGATGTCGCGTGTATGTATGGCATGTCGTATGTATGGTATGTCGCATCCACAGAGGGCATTTGGGAATGCATGTGGGAAACTCGGGATGGCAAGATCGAGAGCGAGAAGTCGGCTTCGACGCGCGGCCGAATTACCGTGTTTTGCACGTTCGGTCTAACCCCCTTTAGACTGAGTTTGCATGTGCGAGGGGAGATGGCATGCATAAACAACGTGTGTTCGCGAAAGGTACTTCCGCGAAAAAGAGGCAATCTCTATTTCCATGCGGATGTTCAAAAACGGCTGACTCGGACTCGGGGGAGGGGGGGAGCCCCCCCCCCCCTTTCGGATCGATGTTGCTTGGCTGCACCGCACAGAAATTATCCGAAGTTATGAGGAATTTGGCTTAGTGGTAAGTCTGGTAGTATAATTGGAGGGATGAGTGTTTCGTTTTAACCCTTTAATTGGTAAGCCAAAACCATTAATTTTTTGTGAGGTTGTACGTCCAAAAATTCTAATAAAATTTGAGAAGTCGTGCGGAAATGTTCAATGGTAAAATCACAAAATCAGCTGGAGAGAGAATAAATGCCCACCAGCCACTCCCTTTGGATGAAATCGCGATCACTAAAAGCATATCGAGGTCACTGCACTCGGCCAACGAGATGATCCGGTTGAGCCGAATTTGCCGTGAAAGATGTCGCTTCGGTCGGCACCCGGCCAGATGGATGCAATTTGGTACACGAATACAGCTCATATATCATTCTAGCACTGTTTTTACTATTACCAAGCATCGTCTTTCGGGGGCCACCTCCGATAAACAGAACGGAAATACCCCAATATTCCCAAACGTCCCGTGATGGCAGCGTGAGGCTTCGCCCTTTCTGGTACTGCTGAAAAGTAGGTTCACGATCTCGCTCTGTGTTCCCTCGATACGCATTTCCGTTCTCGTGGGAGTCATGATTTATTTTTAAAATATGCGCCTATCATATTGGTAATCATTGCTAATCGTAATTGCTAAGCAGCCACATTGTTGATCTTCAACCTCAGTCAGAGGCTGAATCTAGCGAAGTTGGGGGAACTACAAGTGAAAATCTAGCGCATAGTTTCCACATTGAATTTCAGGTTTTTTTACTTCACGAACTCTTCGGGATGATTCTCGTTGTTGTGGAACGACCGTTACCAGAAGGTCTCACGCCGGTCGTTAAAAAAAATGCCGTGCACCTCGAATGATAAACTTTCAGAGATCGACGAGATAAATCAGCAAAACTACACAGCCACAATAAATTCTGGTTCCATCTCCTTCGAGACGCATGCGCCTGAGGGCGGACGAAGGGAAACCGGCCTCTCGTTGCAAGAGGCCAGTTTCCGTCGAAACACTTTCTTGCATCCAAGGAGCAACCATCGGGAAAATGTCGACATTTCATGGCGGCAATTGTAAGCTTCCTTCCACGAGATGAGATAGATCCACGTTCAGATCATGCACATCATAACGTTCACCCTGTTTCGGTCCTACTCATGGCGGAGGACGTTTCAATTTTCTCATACAGGAACAACGAGGCGACTATGAAAACGAACCGGAGACAAAGAATTTCCTCATTTAGGAGAGAGACCTTCGAATCGTAGGCTTGGTCAAAAAGTTTTGTCGGCTACCGCACACGATGCCATCTAGCGACTGTCGATCCCCATGCCGACTCTCGAATGGGAATGCTTTAGTGATCATGATAAAAATCCATTTCTCCGCTCCTCTTGGGACGACTGCGTGCAGGAAGATATTATTTCATTCCATGACTGATTTTGACTGAAATAAATGTCCTCTCCACGACGACGATGTTTTCATAATGTTTTGGAATGTTTTCTCAATTTATCTCAGAAGAGGCATCCATGGGGGTGGGGGCAGGGGGGGTGGGGATGAGACAGCCTCACTCGTCCTGACAACTCACACGTCCAACGCCTCACACGTCCCACCTCACACGTCACGCCTCACACGTCCCACCTCACACGTCACGCCTCCCACGCATCACTCGTCAACTCTGTCTCTACTTTCTCTGTTCAACTATTGACGTCAGCAACTTCAACCATTAAACGTCCGGCACTTGAACCATTGCTTGCTCCCATACTTGAACATCTCACCCCGCTGTTTGATTGGCATATCACGAGATAGTCCCAGGTGGTATACTATAGGCGAAGCGATACTCCAGACTGGAGAACGTTCACTCGCGACAGGGGGTATGGAACAAAAACCATGACAAAAGGAATGTTGAAAGAGAGGAGACTTTTCCTGATGCCTTCCAGCACCTGATTAGATACGTGTGTGGTTTCCTACGCTGACTGCGATTGTAATTTATCTTGTATAATAAGACTCTTCATAACTAGGTACCACTCCACGTGCTACCAGCTTGAAAGGGATCGAGGAGTGTGGGAAAACGTTTCCAACGTTCCCAATTTGGCCAGACCCTCGTCCGACGGACGATGCTGAATTTCAGTGCTGCACAGCGAAGGAGAGTGAATTCCTTCGCCTTCCTTTCACCCCTCCCCCTATCCGATGTCTGGAAATTGAACAGTTTTACTGAATGGCTCTTCATCCTTGTGGTCCTGAATTTCGAAACCATCGTGATTCACTTCTTCCACATGGAGCAAGAGTAAGAGGCTCCACGTCCATATGGGGTTAATGGACAAAGATCCACGGCAATGGGAGTGGAAACTACTCTGTAATTTAACCCCCCCCCCCTTTCAGCAACATCAGCACCGTTGACTCACCGAGAAGTTGGCATACAAGTCGCAGACAGGAACGGGAAAGTTGGTGAAGACCTGCGCCTGATTGGAGGGCCTCTGGGGGATGGGAAGCACGACGTCGTCCACCCACGGACCGCGACACCCGACAGTCCTCAGGCCTCGCCACAGACACCTCTCCAGGCACTGCATTAATTTTATACTCTTTCTCTCGACGACGGGACCGATCGAAAGCCACGAGAGCGCGTCTGTACCTGGACGATGGTGTAGGCGGGGTCCTCGATGCATCGGTGTTCGTGGGTGTTGAGGGTCTTGTAGTCGGCAGCTTGGACCTTGAGAACCAGGGACTCTCCCAGGGACACCTGCAGCTCCTCTTGCAACGTTCCTCCGATCGTTGCATATTCTGCCATTCCCATAGAGAGAGAGTTATCCGTCTGTCAGTGTTGGCCCCTCCGTCACAATAAAAGACAAGTTTGGCAAGTCCAGTCCAGTAGTGGGCCTCCTTTCAGTTAAGGAAACCCTCATTTTGTCACCTAATTGAACAAAATGCATCTCTTTCCGGTCTTCGGCCATCAAAAACCTCATTTCTCATTTATATTTGGTAAACATAGACAAACGGTGCCAAAACGATGATGGGAGGATGGAGGGCTGTGCGTGGTTGAATCCATCCGCCACGAAAGTTGGAAGCTCTAGTTGCTGACACGGCGCCGTGCCCAAGGCCTGGGTCGTAGGCGCATGCGCATTGTGGTCTTATGGGTTCAAGGGCTCACGGGTACTCATGTCTTCCCCTCTGTGACCAAATTTCAAATCCAAAATTTGGAATAAATATGCCAATTTTTGGTGCAAATTCGTCACAAAATGAACACAGCCTGTATCTTTTTCATATATATCTGCTTGCCAATTTTCGCAGTGATCAGGCCAATATTGTTTTAGTAATCGTCGAACAACCAAAGTGTGACCCACTGACACACTAACACGCGGACGGACAGGTCGGGGCCATAAGTGGTCTCTTCCCTTTCAGGAAAGGAGGCCCACTAAAAAACGCACAATTCCCACCGGATGGAATCGCAGTCAGCCTAGCCGATAGGTAAGCTTTTCGCCTTGCGATCGAATGTGGCTGAAACATGACTGCTCAAAGTGCAGCAGATATTGAGGGAAGGGTACGTACCATGACAACTCGGAGCCTCTAGCCCGATGTAACCCTTTCAGTCTTGACGGGACTCAGGAGTCCCGCATTTTTTGCATATTTTTCAGGGCCATACAGGAGTGCACGACCTTGAGACATGGCGGGACTTCTGAGTCCTTGTGGCCCTTTTTCGAATCGATATTTTTGTGGTCAATGATGTTTCATTGTGAACGGTTGAAATATGAAAATTTGTTTTCATATCATTTATTCAGGCCTGGAAAATTTAACGGAGGCCTGACCCGAGAGCTGCAACTTATTCCTTGTTCCACCTTTTCTCTATCTTATATACATCGGAAGGTTGGGGGAGGGGGAGGGGGGCCGAATTTTGCAAGTCATTAGCCCCTTGCATGACCAATAGATGTCTTTGTCTGTCTGGGGAATTTTCAGTTGAGGCGATACTATCAGACGCCTGGTTTTATCTCTCGATGCCCCCCCCCCCAGAGAAACTCCGTGAAAATTAAATTTTGAATTTCCCATGATGGAGACTCAAAACGAACTCTGTCAACTAGTTTTACCTCATTCCCCCCAACTTCATAATTGACAACAATGGAATTTTCAAGCGCACTCATTCGCTGCATGGAGTCCGCAGAGATTTCCTAATTGGCTTCAATAGGACAACACAAGCTTGGGCACTATTTGTTTTTCCTCTCGTTCGTGATAGATGAAAATGAAAACTCTGTGTACACTGTCAACACATAGAGTTCATCAGCTGGGAAAAGGACAGCTGCTCTCGAGCGCAGGAAATGAGGAATATACAGCTAAATGATGAGAAAATTTTTCTGGGTAAAAGCCTTGCTATTGGACTTACTTCGGCAATCATTGTACGCTCATGAAAGGACATCATCAAAACGACATAATCAAAAGGATAAAGGGAAAAAGGATAGACAATTTCGATCCGGTGGATTATTTAGTGCCTTCAGCGTCGATTTGCAAACCTTTGACATTTCCGCCTTTCACTTAATCAGGTCATGCCATGGATTCTTTCTCTCGTTTTATGCGTCTCTTTTTTCATCCCTTAGCGAATGCGTTTGCAGAGTTGAAGTCACGTTACTCGACTACATTTGACATGTATATGATATGATCTTAAAAAAAAATATCCTAATTAAAAACGTTGCAATACAGAAGAATAAACTTAATGAAAATAGATTTTAAAAGTTTAAGCTTTTAAAAACTGGCTCCGAGCTGTGACCCACCCAAATGCTACAGACAACAACCAGATGAAGATTTTACACACACAGGGTGAGTCAAAAGTCCGGTCTCACAGGGAACACGTGTGTATTTACAAGAGATGTTCAAATTGCAGGCCCTGGAGGCGGGAACAGGTGTTCACCCGACGGAGGAAGCTTTCCCTCACACGTTGGTTGCTGTCGGGTGGTCAGCCCCTATGAGACCAGACTTCTTAATTTTTTACTTTTGACTCACCCTGTACGGTATAAAGCTATAAAGTGACGGCACATGTTAGAGTAGCTTTAAGACTACAGGAAGAGTTTTTTTTTTTTTAGCAGTCGTAGGCCTGAAGTTATTTTTACTCTGCCATTTACACTCAAAGGGTTTTTTTTGCAACTCCTTCCTTCTTATTAGTTACGTTTATCACTGTCCTATGTTTAGACTTGACTTCAAAAGCATCTGCTTCATGTTGCCACTGATGGTACGAAATTAATTCTTATAACGCCTTTTCAGCACACAATCATTAAAGAGGTCCTTTACCTCATTAATCCCCTATGGTTTCGTCTCCAGTTCATTTCCGCAAAAATTATACAGCGTTTAGCAAATCTAGAAGACCCAATAGTTTCAGTCCGAACGGATCAGTCGTATGTCCAAGTTGAAAAGCGAAATTCATTATGATCCTTACCGCTCCACTTGTCACGACTGGAATGGACGAAGACACTCCAGCCCTCCCAGACCTCCTCGGTGCCCGCGCCAGTGATGTTGAGGTACTCCTGCGGATCCGACGACAAGACGGTCTTGAGAGCGTAGGATTTGCCCGGCGGGGGACGGACGTCCGGCTTCGGGGTCAACGTGTAGCATCGTCCGTACTTCCGGGACAGCTGATCGGTCAGGGTCATCGACGTCGCTGCAACGCAACGGATGGGTGGATCAAATGCAGCCCTGGAAAGGGTGCGGGGGTTTCCTCGTGGAGGTAAACTGGGGATTTTCACAAGGCGTTCCGTCTCTCGCTGCTTGACTTCATGCGAATGCTAAACATGTCACTTATTTATTATGAGCTATAGTATTTTACTTTTAAATCGACTTGAGCCCATATTCATTATTTGTCCTAAAAACCCATTGAATACGACTGTCCTATTTCGCTACGAATAGCTACGAATGGCTGCTTCACCGACATGACCAATGTCAAGAGACTGCAATAAGACACAGTGAGTCGTATTCCTGTCCTCATGTCAGCTTCTACCTTTCGGGTGGAAAGTGTGAAAATGAGGACGAGGGTTTCATTTGTCCGCGAGAGACATCTAGTGCGAACTGAGTGAATCTTGGTAGACAAGATATCAATTTCTCGGTCCTCCTGCCGTTAGAGTTTCTCTTTATGTCACATGTTACGCAACCGAGCCACGTAGATTCAAGTTCTCCGCTAAAAACGAGGAAGATTTGCCTATGGCCGAGCGAATGAAGAAACACCTACTGTTTTCCGGAGCGAACCCCAAGAAGGAGACAGGGCATTGTCCCCACTCGTTACCCCCGACCCCGCAGATCCGAATGGTTTCATTGGGTTTGTATGACACTTCCTGCCAGAATTTGGTGAGGTTCTTTCTCTCTTCCTCGGCCCAGGGGAACCGCTTCCACGAGCTCGTCGACGAGGGGAACCAGCTCCCTTTCTCCGACACCAGCCCGTACGCCTGCAATACCCAAGGGCATCCCGCTTTATAAAGCCGTACGACAAACGTGGCAATTATATTGTACGCATCTTCCAAAGTGAAAATTAAAATGACTATTTTTTTTTTACCGTTGTTTGTGCAAAACTTCTCAAGCCCGGGAGAACAATGCCCTGACAATATTTATATTTAGTCCTTTTGCTGCATGTCACATTTGATGCGCTGAGCCTATCCCACCGTAAAAGATCCTGACCTGCATGATGGATCGTTTGAAACCCTGTCGATGGCAGATGGTGAGGGAAGGGAACTCCAGGGATTCGTTGAAGAGAACTTGGCTCTGGGTCGTGATCGGCGGGGTCCTCAGCTTGTCCACGCACTCCTTCACCTGCGCATTTATGGGAATCGTGGCCTTGACCGTGACGGTTTCAGGGGAGAAATTGTTGCATTTTACTGTGACTTTATCTCTCTACGACCCTTGCGATAAAGCGACATGATATACGATAAATCGATGGCATTACATCGAGACGGCGTATTTTATCGACTCCGTTGTCGACTTCGTTCGTCGTGGGTGGGCCTCGCCTATTTCCGATCCGTCTGGACCGAGTCTCGACTCAGATGGTCTCGCAGATCGAGACTAACTAGACAGACAGGTGTGAGCCTTCATCCTTCATTTTGTCTTCTGACTAATCTTCTCCTCCCGTTTTCCATCATAGTTCTGGCTCGACGAGGAAAGTAAATAATAGGCCGGAGGATTGCCAAGAGGGCAGTCGTGCTATCTAAAACCTTGTCAAGTGCCACGTGAGGAGCGGTGGGAAATCCCCGGTGCCAAAAGACGTAAGCAGGGCAGGTGGAAGGCTTCAGCGAGATCTTTCGAGTTTAAGGAGGGAAAGGCAGAATTGTTTCTTGGACCGCATTGGCATCCTCAGCTTTCGGGTTTCTTTCTTCGCCGCTAAGAAAACAAAGACGGTTGCTATCAAAATACCAGCAAGCTCCGAATCGTTTTCCATTAATTTTACTGGTAACGCGTTTTTCGACAGAAATTGACGAAAAATGAAGCGAAGTCCCGTTAAAGTGGCACCGAGTAGTGCAGGACCTGGTAGCATCCATTCGAACATCCATTCTCATTACCTTCCCCTATCTTATCTGCTTCACTTTCCATGCCTTAGAACCTCGCCCCATCCCACCGTCCTTTCTCTTGACCGTCGAGTTCTTTGGCTCGGTATCCCACCTCCACTCCCGCTCCCTCCCCCCAACCGCCACCTCTTCCACTCCCTTTAATCTGCCTCAGGCAGCCCTCGCTGTGAAAATCTCTATATCCTTCCTTGAGGGAAGGGAGGGGGCAGAGGGGAAAACAAAGAGGTGTCAACTCCAAGCACGCAGGGATTTGAAAAACCACTCACAGATGCCTAGGAGGCAAAGGGTTTCCCTCCCTATGACAACTAGGAATATCTCCGTTCCTTGCTCTGGAAATAAATTCTGATAACAAGCCTAGGAAATGAGAACGAAAGATTGAATAGATTGAACCTTTGTCAACAGAGGGATTTGAATAAAGTATAATTCAGCACTTATGTAAAAAGGTCCATTGAAGCGATGAGGGAAAAATATTTCAAGATCCCCTGTCTAGTAGGCCTTCAAGGGAATGGTATTGTAGTACCTGAAGGAAAAAGGAGAGGGAGAGAGAAAATTAAGGGGGGGGGGGGGGGGGGGGGGGGGGGGGGGGGGAAGGCGGGAGGGGGGGGGGGGGAAGAGGGGGTTGGGGATGGACATCAGGAGCCAAACAATAAATGGATTGGTTGATGCCATCCGGGGAGCAGGTAGCAAGTCGAAATTTAATACAATTTTCTAACGAACAGCGACATTCCTGGGAAGGGTGAGAATGATGTAAACCCCGCACTCTGATATTGTCGACAGAGTGATTTGGAAGACAGAAATGAGATGGAACTGGCTCTGAAGATTTGATACGAATGCCCCGAAGGTGTTCCACAAAACGATCCCCTCAAAATAGAGCTCGGTGACAAAAAGGAAATAATGGAAATAAATTATATATCATACTTCAATAAATTCCTGGGTAATGGTGAACTTTTATATTCTACGTTTTCAAATGACGCTGTTTCCCGGTAGCCTATCTTATCTCAAGGACGAGAGGAATCGGTGCATAGGGATGGAGGGAATGAAGGGAGCTTGGTGTCTTTAAAAGACACCATTCCTTTTTTTTTTTAAATGAAACGATTTAAAATTCGGATTGTCATACGATAGCGAATCAGTGAAATGACAAATTAATAACTTTCTGTCTTCACCACGACTTCATCTTTCCCAGCGTTACCAACCAAGAGGATTTCAATTTAGGGGGTTGATGGTGAAGCAGTAGTACAATTGCGTCAATTTTCGTTGAAAAAAAGCTTTAAAATGCTGCCAATGTTTCGAACAGGAGACATCTAGTGAGAGTTGACTCAAGATCACAAATGACGGGAATTGCAGTTAAGTGATGGTAATCGATTTTCCTGCCATTGGTCATCCAAATGAAAAATTTTCATCTGTCAGTTGAGAAATTTTCCAGGACCAGAATGGTAAATCCTACCTTTCTGTATTGGCTAGCCCAGCAGTGTCAGGAGGAAGTTTTCACCACGCTTCCATAAGGACCTTAAGGACCTGAGTTTTGAACTCGATTGTGAGAAGAAAACGGAATCCGTCTTGAGGAGTTCGTCTCACACGAACGCGAACGCCTTTTCGGCGCTTGTACCAAGCTCTCACTGAGCTAATTTGAACAGGACAGAGCAGAGTGAATACAGCAAATTTGGAATCATCAACTTTGACCGTAAGACACTTCCGGCGTTGGGGATCATCATAAGGTATTCAAAATAAACCTTCGTTATTTGCAGTGCCCAGAAATTCCACAATATTCATCCCGCCACCGCGATCTCAGTATCATGAACTGTGAGCGTTCCGGATAATTCTAAATATGGACCAGAGAGTCATGACAAGCGTCAGCTTATCTGGAGTGTGATGAATTATTAGACAGTTTTGGGTGCAGTCAAGAGTTATTCCAGCAATTCATGAAGGCCATGGCTGAGGGAAAGAAAAAGAAACCTGAGAATCACAGCACGTCTTACCGAACGTCCGACCCCCAAGTTGACCCTGCCAAGCGATCGTAAATGGACTGATCCAAAATGGCGGATGGCAACACTCTGGGACGTACTCAGTCTTACGACTTTTATCATCCCATTGACGTCGAGGTCAGTATCAGAGTCCAGATTAAGTATAGATACATCCACAGAATTCGAAGAAGGGCAGGTGAGTCTCTAGGATGCCCTCCCCAGATTCGGGTCTTGGGGGGGGGGGTCCATACCCTCTGCCCTGGAATCGTCTTGGGTGGTTTTCCATAGTCAATGCTACTATTTAGCATGGTTTACATAAGGTGTGGGGAGAGACAGACTATGATGTGCATGCTCATCGATTGCCCGCTTGGAACCAATCTGGCCTTTGCAAAATTCCTGTGCAGTGTCACAGATGAAGCGTGGACATGAACAGTGGATGAAAAGTTTCGCAGAGGAGAACCACACAACTCTTCGATTCTTAGCCCCTACGTCTTAGAGTACATCTCGTGGCATGTACACTGTCATCGGCTGAAAACAGGCTTGGGTCGACAGGATTTAGTGGTGATGCCCCCTGAGATGGGAGAGGCGAGTACCATCAGGAAAGGGTCAGTGAGCAACTGATATCTACCAAATAGGTCTGCTTCAAAGGATCGGACTTTGTCCAGCCTGTCGCATCAATTTTACATGTCTCTCCACCGCATGAATCCCTCCCATCCCCTCGGGAAGGGGGATCAGATGTCGGTGATCTAGTGCAGTGTTTCCCAAACTGTGTGTGCCGCCAGCAAGGCTTAGGTGTGCCGTGAGATTTGAGAGTTGACAAAAAAGCAAAAAAACTAAAATTAAAAAAACTTTAAAACAAGAGTAAACGCCATCTCTCAGTGGAAAACGAGCTGAGAGTTGCACTATCACGCCTCGTATCAAACTGCTCTGTTCGGCAAAACAAACACAAGTTTCCCGTTGAAAGTAAGTAAATAGCTGGGTGTGCCGTGGAAAGTTCAAGTGTCTAGTGTGCCGTAAATAAAAAAGATTGGAAACCGCTGATCTAGGGCTCTGGTCCTCCTGAGAGATTCGCACAACACCCTACTCCACACCCCTCACAACCGCCCGCCTTGGGAGCCTTTACCTACCCTGACCCCCTTGATTCGCGAGCCGAAATACGCCAGATAAGTACACATACCTGAATGACGAAGACGGCGAAGCAGGCCAGGACGATGAAAACCCAAACGGTCCGATGAAAGGCCTTCCCTGCCCCCGATATCACGTCGAACACATCCGCGATAGCCTTAGGCCGTTTCAAGCCTTCCTTATTACCCTGCTCTCCTGCCGGGGGACACCCAGAGGGCGTCCAGGCGTACATCTCACTCGACGGCTTCATGGGATCAAAACCCAAAAAGTAGAGGGCAGACCTCAAGGTCACTATCAGTTGCAGTGATTTGAGAATGGATTCGAGCCTTCTTCGACTCACTGCGTGTTAGATCTATGGTGCATGCAAGGAGGAAAGGGGATATCTCGAGCCCATGTTGAATGTTTTCCGAACTTATCTGTAAATCACAGTAAAATCAATATTCTTTCCCACATATAGTGCTTAGTATTGGAAAGCGACGGCGAGCAAACATAAAGTGAGGGTCCACGTCCGATAGGATATCAGAGATGACGGCCGCACTGCGAGCGAGCACGAAAAGCAAGGAACGAACAGAAACTGGCACAAGACCTTCTTTCTTGTTTTTCTCCTTCGCAACACTTGCGCAGTGGAAAGTTTATCTTCGAGGGATTTTCCCGCCGAACACCAAGGGCGGACGGGACGAGAGGAGACTATTGCACATAAAATGCAATGAAAAAAAAAGGCGTCCTGCGGAGGAACAGCGTCCCACGATGATTGGTATCAGACTGTGTTTACACTGGTGATCGTATTCAACCCTCTCGGAACGAATTAATCATCCCGCCCACTCGCGTCTGGGTTACCTTTTCATCTCGAACTCACCGATGCGTACACATAATTTAAAATCCAACTTAAACTCAGGAAAAGGGGAAACTCTCCACGCCAGTGGGCTCATGCTGATTGAAGGTGGACCTCCCTCTTCCCTTCGAGGACCTCCAGTGCTGCGAAATCTCATTGGCTACTCTCATCGATGACGTCATCCGGTGTCCACTCTGATTGGCTCATTTGAAAGACATTTCGACATTTTAAAACGCGCTTCAGTTCCTGCTGCGACAAGGGAGAAGCCCAGTCAGAAAGATCGATCGACCTGTGTTGACCTTTGACGCTTCGTCATTGCGGATCGGATCGACTCTCAGCAGGATGCCAATCTATTCTTCGCGGTGCCGATCGAGAAAGTGTCGTGAATGGGACAGGCTAACGAGTGCAAATAGTGGAAGACGAAGGCCTTTCGGCAGCGGGCGAGATGTTTCTTTCGCTCTTCGTAAACAATCCCTGACGAGAACGTCTGGATTCCCGACCTTAACGAGGCCATGAATCGAAGGGGAACACCTGTTTCAGCGGGACGGTGTTTTATCGCTTATGTGAGGGAATCTCGAATGATTTGAGAGGCAGAAAGCGAGGGTCGTATCGCGGAGATAAGGAGTGAAAAATCCCATCGGGCCTCCGCTAGCCTATCAGTCATTCCTCGAGTTCCGGAATCGTCACATGCTTCCAGGGATTCGTGACTTGTTGCGACGCGGAGCCACAAAACGGTGAGTGAAAGAGGGCGTGGCTTGGATTCTCTCTGGAAGAATGAATCGGGGAAAGACAAGCAAAAAGCATTAGCAGTTCGGCGTCTAAATAAACAAAGGAGAGAGAAACTGCGCAGTCTTCTGGGAAATGGCTTTACTACGGAGGATCATAGGAACGGTTTTATCTCCGTGTTCCGTGAACGTTCCGTGATATTATATTTCTGTTCCGTGAACGTTCCGTAAACGACCTCTGCTCTAATAAAAGCGGTGTACATAGAAATTCGAAATGGACCTATAGTCGACGTAAAAAAAATTCCTGGCTCGAGGCTCATCTAAATATAATAGGCTGTTTTCGCTTTCCGTTGGTGGTGACAACCAAAAGTTTGATCGTGTTTAGAGAGGGCTGGGTCAGCCACAAAATCAAATCAAATTTAGAATGCTGTTTGAAATTTTTGGCATCTGAATGATCGGATCGGTATATTCACCTCTATCCACGCGTTCGTTCTTCAGATTTTTCCACTCGATCCCATCTATGCTAACGATGAGGCCATTTAGCAGGACCAGATGCCGACGGCGGGAAGCATGAGCCAGCGCGTGAAAGCCCGCGCTCCCCGGGTCCCATTCGACCCGAAGTCGAAGACGCCCCGCCGGATGTCGCAGAGCGTGACGGACGTGATCACGTGCCCCATCTGCCTGGAGGTTTTCGTGGGTCCCAAGATGCTCCCGTGCCAGCACACGTTCTGCCTCCTCTGCCTGCAGAATTACAACACGGGGGCGTCGGCGAGGAGAGGCACGTTCAAGTGCCCGCAGTGCAGGCGGGACGTGGAGGTGCCCGAGTCGGGGATGAACGGATTCCCCAACAACATTTCGGTCCAGTCGTTCATCGACGCCCTGACGCAGGAGCGGGTGAATCTCAACTCGCCTGTAGGTTCTCTTTTTTTTTCCCCGACTCTTTCGTTTTGCGAGATGGCTGTCGAATCTTGGCGAAATGAGTTTTCGCAGCACTGAGATACTTGGAACGCGCTGCGCAATGCTTATCTCTGGTGTCTCGGGATCCCGAGCGTTATCGCGAGAAAGCGGATGCAATCGATCAGATTTCATTGAACATGCCATAAAGGCGGAATCGCGCGAACAGTCTAGATTGTTCTCTTACGCGCTGCTGATAATAATTATCTCTGGGAAACGTGCATCATAGAGGGATCCAAATATCCATAATTTAAATATGAATGCTCATTCCCGTAAGTCTGGATGAAGAAGACATTTCATCGCCTCGCGTTATCGTTCGAATATTTGCCCCACAATTAGCCGATAACTTTCGGCAAACACGTATCATGTACACACAGATGGAGCCGAGTTTGTATTTACGGAGGGAAAAGTGGGAATTTTTCAATCTTCGAGAACCGTTCTTTTCTCGTGTCCTCGTGATGACCACCAAAGGGACAGACTGGAACGTTCCTCTCTCTGAAAACAGACCGATGGTAACAGACTAACGGGAATCGACGTCTCCTGTATTGCCGTTGGTTCCAGTCTTTGTGGACCGTACCGTTCTAAAAGTTCTTGAAGAAAATTGCAAGTCATTTGAGGGCTTCAGCAGTCGAGTACCAGGGAATACATCTGAGCACCAACTGGGAACGCGATGCTCCTGCCCTCGCCTTCGTTGGCGCGATCTTTCGGATTCTCAACGTTTGTTGGATCGTCATATATATTGAACGACTGGGGGTTACGTATGCCGTCCCCACGCGTAGCAAAGATATAAATGTAGAGACTGTTCTCTCTGATGGTAGATAAGATATCCTGTCCAAGGAGCAAATCGATCGTTCTGGTGTGCGCACGGCCATATTTATCTATAGGCCGAGACCGAGAGCCTCACTTCATGGGGGAGGGGGAGGGGGGGGTTGATGAAAAAATGGGCTGATTCATTGTCGAGCAGCTTAGAAATATTTTTTAAAGCAGGGTCCAATTCCATTAGCGAATGTTCACTTTTAGATGCGAAAAGAGTGAAAATCCATGGAGCAAGATTGTGTTTCACGATCGCCTCGGAGCCCTTTCAGTCAACAGCGTCATTTCACCCCTCCTGAACCGCCCATCGCCCCCACCTTCATCCCCCCCCCCCCAAGTCTGTTCAAGCATTGCATTAAGATGAGTCCATGTTCATAGTTGAACAGAGTCCTTCCCTCCATAAGGAATACATTCCCCCCCCCCCCCCCCCCCCCCCCCCCCCATCCCCCCCCCTCACCGGACTCAACAAAACTTTGCGGTTAATCCTTTTTCATCCTTTTCTATCGTAATATCACAGACGTGTCTGTTTTAGAGGAATAATTTATAGGTGAATGTTGCTAGGGGATGGCTAACTTTTCTGCAAGGCTTAGGGTCCCATATAATCCTTAATCCGTCTCCGCGTGAACCCACAAGATCAAGTCTCTGATTAGATACAGAAACAGGATGTAGGATCGTGGGAACGGGAAACCGAGAAGAGTTTAAGGAATGTGAGATCATTTACTCAGTCTCTGAAGCGGGAAATTCGTGAAGCAGGCCGTGCTTCGTTTTTTTAGTACAACTATTTATACCGGCTAAAAACAATAAAAAGTGCTGGGGATCCTGAAGAATCGGGGAATGACTCGCCACAGAGGCGATCCAGGCGCCATTTCATTCGGCCGTAGGAACCAGGTTTGAGTCACCTGTGGCAGTTCAACAATGTTAAATTTAAAAAAAATACAATTTTGCACTGAATCGCGGCCGTCGTGTCGGGGTCGCGGATATTTTTATGCTTCTACTCCAGATCTATTTAATGATATATGATACCTATGACGTCTCTCGATGCGACCTGGGGCCTTTTTCACGAAACTTCTTTAACTTTTCTTTAACTTTATTTCGGCTATATTTCGATTTTATCACGACTCAAAATAAAGAAAAAATAAAGGCACCTTTGGAGGTTTCTCAATCTCGACTTTAACCTCTCTGAGGGCTACGGAAACCCTGGCCACCTGTGTATATNACAGCATGTCTCTGATAATGTTGCCATGGAAACTAAGGAGGCTTCGTGAAATGGATTTTGAGTTGAGTTAAAGTAAAGATAAAGTAAAGTTAAAGAAAAGTTAAAGAAGTTTCGTGAAAAAGGCCCCAGATCTATTTAATGATATATGATACCTATGACGTCTCTCGATGCGACCTGCTCTTCAGAACATTTCGCAATCGACAGTAAATAAAGGTAACACGATCTCGGGGTTTCTCCGGCGTTCGATCATCAACAAGAGATGACACGTTGACTTTCCATTCCACATGGTATCAGTGAGTCCTCATGCAGAGCATTGCTTTCCAATCTGGTGGACCGGAAATTAAAGGGATTTGATGACACTGGAGAGGGTTGAGCAGAATCGATGGGGGGGGGGGGGGGGGGGGGGAGCCTCGGGGAGTGCTGCGATTGTGTTCGTCGGATTCACGGAGAAAAGCGGCGATCGACATTTCCATCTTCCTCGATCGTGACCTTCGCTTCGGTCACGTTTGTCTCGTCGCTTCTGAAAAACCTTCACGCGGCAAACTAAAATGTTCACGACTGGACTTTCGAAGCAAATTATCCACAAGGCGCATTGACGGTGCGAAGATCGCCGTTATGATTTCACCTCTCTCATTTCAAGGTCATCTGCCCTGGGGGTGACCTCTTTTGGTCTTATGCGAAGTGTTACCATTTTGGGGAAAATTTTTCACTGCGTCTTATTGAATCCCTGAAAAACAAATATAAAAAAAAACTTCATTAGGATCAGGAGACGTTTCATGCCATATGGCAAGAATTTTCGGAGTGCTCCTCGTATGCCATGAAGAAAGGGGGATCAACGTAGCCGCACGAAACTAAGCAGTAGATCCACGCATTGCAACAAGATTTGTCCCAGGTAATCCTATCTCAGACGGGGAGGGGGGAAGGCGGGGGTGGTGGGGGGAAAGGCGAGGGTGAAAAAGTGCGTCGATATGGACGAGATCCGCTTCCATCCTTGAACTTTGAACGATGATATCTTCCACTTATTTCGTGGACGTACTTGTGTTTATCGTGTTTCTATGCCTCGGATTTATCCCAGACGCTTGTTAAATGTTACCCGAAGCAGCATAATGCCTTCGACGCGATCGTTACCCTCGAATGTTCGTGTCCAATTCAAACACGCTTGATGGATCTCGGACGAGGTCACGAGGTCGTCACGAGGTCATCACTCTTCCCTTCCAGAAAATACAAAATCAAGCCGACAAACCGGAGAAATCCATGCAGACGCGAATTGGCAAAGCCTAACGGAATTCCTGCATTCGTAATCTGTCGCCGAGATGATGGCCAAGTGGGACCGATGGCGTCTGTTCCCCGCATATAAAACAGCTGCAGCCCCACAAATCACTCTGCTTCAATTTTTACTATTATTATCGGCCCACGATTGCCATACGGTCATAAAATAGAGACGGGAACAGACGATTCTCGTGCATCGGGACTCGAAAGCCACATTTAGCTCTATTATCGGCATCGAGAAAATCTTTACGGCCTTTTCAAAGGAAAATATCGATTCGACCCCGCCCTCTCATGGTTGACTCGACACAATCCAATTCGATAAGGAACTGTTGATCATTTCTTTCGGCCTCTGTTTACCCTTTGATAACGCAGGCGAACGACGTCGCGGCGGCTGGCCCTCATCAGCAGCTGCTCCGAGAGTTGGAAAAGGGGCATCGAGGCGTTCAGGATCAGATCAACCGATTTCAGGTGAGAATGCTATGGAAAAACGAATTCGGTTAATAGAAACGAGCGAAGTAACGTATTCATCGCTCGAGACGATTGATTTATAAATTAACTATCATCAAATTGAATCAAATTTGGCTGCAAAAAACGATGCTAGCGACGCACCAAAGCAAGTTCCGAAGAATGGAATGAGACTTGCGAAACTGATTGCCGATAATAATAGTAAAAATTGAAGCAGAGTGATTTGTGGGGCTGCAGCTGTTTTATATGCGGGGAACAGACGCCATCGGTCCCACTTGGCCATCATCTCGGCGACAGATTAATCCCCCCCCCCCCCCCCCCCCCCCCCCTCACAGACGAAATGCACGAGCATCGTGTCGGAGATCAGCTTGGCTGCTGAGAAGAGGATCCAGGAGATTTTCGACGAGAAGAACGCCCTCATCCAGCAGGTGGAGGCCTCGAAGACCCAGGCCGTCTGTGCCATGGAGGCAGCGGCGAAGAGGATTCAGGAGAACATCCAACGTCTCAACCAGGTTTTTTCTTTTTGGGTTCTCTTTCCCTCGACTCTTTAATAGTAAAGGTTTTGAATGGAAAAAGAAGGATCGAATCAGGTGCTTCTTGTTTTTCCTTTTCGGTTTCGTTTTTCACGCCGAGTTTTACGTCTTCTCCCTCGTTCTACCTTCACATTCGCTGGCTTTAGACAGACGATTCTCTTTTACGAACCTTGACTTTCATAAAAAGAATGGAATTGACGTCGAAATTGCGCACAGGAGAAGGAGGGGGTGAATGCAGAAGAAGTGAAGGCTCTTCTGACGGAATCCGCGACCTCTGCCACCTTCGAGCTGGATCTCGACGCGAAATCTTTCACATTCTCCCTCGGCAAGTCTTCGTCATCTGCCGGAAAAGAAGACTCTCCTCCGTCCCCTTTGCCACTAATGGGAGCAGAAATTCGCGAATTCCCATCGCCGGCTTCGTCGTCGACGTCGCTGGCTTCGTCATCGGCGTCGCTGGCTTCGTCATCGACGTCGAGGAGAAAAAGCCGATCGGATTCGACTTGGACCCTCAAGAATCACAATCACCTGTTGGGGGCTTGGAAGTCAAGGTCCTTGTCCTTGAAGCACCAGATCACCACGACCGGGCTTCATCGTCCCGTCGGTATCGCCGTGAGTCCCTGGAGCCAAGAAGTGTTCGCCGTCAGCACCGAGACCCTGCGAGTCATGGTCTTCGACCTCGTCAAGGGCAAACTCGTGAGGTCTTTCGGGTCGAAGGATAACTTCATGTATCCTTCGGGTATCGCTCTGGACGGCGAGCGGCAGGAGATCTTCGTCTCTGGTTCATAATCAATGAAATTTCTTCGAAGGTTTTCCCCGAGAGTCGATGCGCTGTCAACCGAGTTTCGATGGCATTTTCAGACAAGTACAAGCACTGCATTCACGTGCTGTCCAAGGAGGGGAAATACTTGAGGCAATTGGGGTTCAAGGGAAACACCGGAGGACACTTCAATTCGCCAGAGGGAATCGCCGTCGACAGCCAAGGCCGGGTCTACGTCTGCGATACCGGGAACGCCCGCGTCCAGGTACGAATTGCATCCGGTCCGTTCTCGAGTGAAATCACTTTATTTTACATTCGCGAGCGTTTATACGTCAATTCAGATATTGGATCGAACGGGAATCTACATGGGAGATCTAGGAGGTACGATGAAGATAGATCTCTTGACCGGAAAAAAGGTGGTGGAGACTCGATTCATGGAACCCACGGATGTGGCCGTGGGAGCGGACGGAACGGCGGCCGTGGCCGACACCGGATTCCATCGCGTCGAGGTCTTCAACGTCAGGGGGGGGCCCAACGAGGCTCGGACGAAGCACAAGGTCACCGTGGATCAGTTCTTCAGGGCTCACACGGGGGCCCCGCACTGTGTCGTCGTCGATGCGCACGGGACCATACTCGTCGGTGACAACGGGAATCAGTGCATTCAGATGCTGAAATGGGATGGGTCGTTCCTGCGGACGTTCTCCGATTCCAAGATCGCCTGGGTGGCCGGAATCGCCGTGACGCCCACTTATGATATTGTTTTTACTGATTTCAAAAAGCACTTTATAGGAGTTATCTCCTGAAATCCCTGTCTTGAAAAAAAAAAATTCGATTGACCGAGAACAGACCAACGCCCATTATAAAATAAAAAAAGGTTTTTATTTCTCATGCATAAAAAAAATATTTCGATGCTACACGAAAAAATACCCAAGGGTACACAATCTTGATTACCTAAACTCAATCCCAGAATGATCTGATCCATGGAAAGGTGAGATTCGTGAATATTCGCAATGCATCAGGAAGCTGTTTTTTCCTCTCACTATTTTTCAAGCGAGTAGAGTAGTTTGATTTCCCGCTCATACACGTCATCTCCTTCACATGGTGTCTCCAAGACAAGGGGAATGTCTGCAAAGTGAGGCATTTTCATGAGGGGAAGGAATCCCTGCTTCTTCAACTTTCCCTTCCCTATGTTCTCGTGCCGGTCCAAGTGACAACCCAAGTCTCCTGTAAGAAAAAAAAAAGTATGACCTCAGTACTTCTTTCCAATTGTACCAAATGCTTAATTCTGAGGTATGAATGACATTTCACCAGCATTATATAGATGGACCAGAGTGTCCAGAACAGGAGGTGAGCACTTTCTGATCTTTTACACAACAAGGAATACAGTAACTTGGGTCAATAAAATTAGCCTGTAATGAATCTTGATCATGGAGGAAGCACAATGATTCATGCCAATCTTTTAGATTGATGACAAAAAATAATCACCTTTTGAGTCATTGATGTGCATGGCTTTTAGATAAGAGAGCCCAACTGCTTCATCAAATACTTGGATCATCTTTTTCCAATCTTCTTCAGTTCGTAAATCATAGCCTGAAAAAATAAAACGTGTGGGTTCAGCCTCTTCATACTCTTACTAGAGGTACTTTTACACACATGCAGTCAAGTGAAGATGCTGAAACTGACCTGCAGCAAAGGCATGGCATGTGTCCAGGCAAACCCCAATACGGGTCTTGTCTTCGATCTGGTCAATGATTGTCTTCAATTCAGCAAAGTCTCCTCCGATTGTGTGCCCCTGCCAACAATTAACCCTTAAAGTTCACTGTCAAAAACTTACACTCTGTGTTTAGTGCAACCCCCATCTATTTTACTGCCCCAATCAGGATTTGAAGCAGTGTAGGAGCTAGTAACAAAACTAGGTTGCTGCAGCAGGAATTTCCCCTCTTTTATGAAAAAAGGCTCAATTGTAGCTACTGCTCGTATGACATTACTTCACTTCATAAATAGGCCACCATTTTTCCTTTTTCAGACTTCTACTAATCATGATGCATTAGCACAGTGTAAACAATAATTGGATATCTGCAGGTGACTATTAAAAAAAACTTTAGTAGATAGCAGCAATGCATGATTTGCTTCAGGAATTTCCGAGGCTATTGATGGTGATGTATCTGTGCTATAACAAATGTGACTGATGACCACTTTCAAGCACCTCTAACTGCACTTAGCCCCTGTGCCAACACAAAATACATACAGCCAGTACACTAAGATAATGACTTTTTAGGGGTAAGGGTAGACATGCACTGCATTATGAGCATTCTCACCTGCTTGCTCATGTTCTCTAGGAGGACAGAGACAAATTTTGTTTCTCTGTGAGCAAAGTTGATGCTTTCTGCAATCTTAGCCATGCATTCCTCTCGTGAGATCTTGCCACATGAAGACCCTGTGAACATCAAACCACATAAAAGGGAATGTCAGCAAAAATTCAAATGGCAAAACAAAAAAGAACCTCCCAGTCTCATCACACTTACACATACCAGATTCAGGTCTTTGTAAAAAGTATTTTACAACTCACCTGGGTGCACATTGTACTGAGTGATGCCAAGGCGCTCACATCGCTTGAGTTCATCAATGAGAAGGTCTCGACTCTTGGACAGGGTGGCCTCATCTGGGGATCCCAGGTTCAACAAGTATGACCCATGTGGCAAGATGAGGTGAGGTGGATAACCAGCTCCCTACAAAACACCAACTGTGAATGCTTTCACACAGTCCATTCCAGGATTACTTTCCTTTTACAATGATGTTTCCGTGATAGAACTTGGTGAAAATGATACTTAATTTAACAACTTTGTTAAACCATTGATGATCAAGTTTTAACACCTCCATTACTGATCCAGAAAAAAGTTTGCAGCCTAAAATACAGCAAATACCTGCCCAAGGGGAGATATCCCCATGGGCAGGGGGAAGGGAATTGTAGCTGACAATTACACATGGAAACGTAAGTCCATCACATATTAGCATAGAAAGTCTGATTATATGGATGCCTCAAAAGAAAAAGTTCCCAACTTTGCACACCTGTGGATGAACACCATATGAGACAAAGGCTATGAGACAAATTCACTGCATGTCACAACTAATCTCTGTAGGTGGTTTTTCAAGGATTTGAATGAAAATGGAAGTTCATAACTAAGTAATGGCTTTTTTTCATGTACAATATCAAGTTAGCATTAGACAATTCATGCTTTCTTGTTTGACAATTCTGTGCATTCATATAGAGACTGTGCTATGCACAAATGACCACATTGCCATCGTGAAACCTCTCAATAGGCTTGTCAAAAAAAAATCAACAATGATGCATCAGATTCCCATGCATGATTCCAATCATCCCAAGAGTCCAAATCCTCTTGAGCTTGAGATGTTTTCATTTCTTCAGATGGCTCTTGTACTTATCACTAGAGCTGCATCATGGAGGGATATGAACTGAAATGACCTCTTATCTTCAACTTCCCTGTGATCCTATCTTGAATGAATTGGATATGCAGACTTCATGAGAGAAGGATGGGAGATGTGACATGCAGTCATATAGCCCAAAAGGATGTCATACTGGCTGTTGATCTGGATTGTTGTGTCAGGAATGAGGAATATGTGAGACAAAAGCTTCATCCCTGTACCTCACCAGCACTAAATTGGTTCAATTAATCTGATCAATTAGATGGAGCTACAAGTTTAATGTCTGGACTAAATGAGAAATGGAAAGATGTACTCATGAAATCCACCTTCCTGCTAGACTTAGATGCATGTTGAACAACTGATGTCACTGTGTATAAGATAAGAGATGACAGGATGTGTAAGGATGATAACTCTGATGTAACTTATAAGTTATTTTGCCATGATTTAATACAGTTTTGCTTCTGACCTCATCATCAATCAAAACTACATGCTCATCCCAATTAATTCACATCCTCCTCACCTGTCTATTTTTGTTCTGATTTCTTGCGAGCCAGGCTCACAAGCTTAATCTTTCCTAAACCTCTGCTTGTGATGAAACATGTTCTGATGGACCTGCTTGTGGTTGGCATATACTTTCCTACAAGTAGTTATGGCTACACTACCTTATAGGCAGTGATGAACTTTTCTACAGTCTCCTCCTCCAGGGGCTTCCGGTTCCATGTTCTCTGGGAGCTGAGAAACAGGGCAAAGCTGCGAGCACCAATACTCACAGCATTTGTGATGGCATTCTCCAGTCCACCTGGAAAAGATATCAGATTATGGTACATCACTGCAAGGAAGCACCATTCAGAATTTTGGAGATTTGGCCTAGGTAGGGAAGTAAATTTATTATAAGCTTGATATCTGCCCAAGATAGAAGATCCTCCCAAAAACATCCCTGGGTAATTAATTAATCAACAACATAAGTCCAGGTTTCTATTAGCTCCCCTAAATCACATGGCCTAAGTAAGAAAAGGACAATAAAATTTAATGAAACATGACAAAATATTCATTCAGCTGCCAGAGTGGCAACTGATTCACTTTTAGTTGCCAAAAGAATTGAAGTAGCCCTTTTGTGATCAAACACTGTTAATTTGCATCTGCAAGACACTGAGGTTTATTATCTTCACCATCTGAGAGAAAAACTGATATGCATCACCTGCAGCAGAGATGTGAGCCCCAAGATACCTCAAGCCAGTTGAGCAGGGAGACCCATTGAATTTATTTCCAGTTGCAGTTGAGGTGCCATTCACATAAGCTACTTCATTTTTCACTTCTGTCATCTCTTTCTTCAGAGGAATCTCCACTTTAGTGGATGTCTTTTTTTTCTGTTTTCCAACTACAGTCATGGCCTCCCCTTCCTTCTCAGCAGAGGTAGCAGATCCTTGGTCTGAAGGGGCTTTCCGCTTCCTTGAAGTCCAAGTGCTTGTCTGCACTCCTGACACTTTTGCAGTTCCATTCTGGATCACCTTGTGAACTGCACAGCTTGCCTTCCTTGTATGCACCATCTTTTTGAGATCACTATCACCTACAATTTTTATTGCATCACAACATGGCATCAGCAAAATTTCACAATGAGTTTAACAGTAATAATAATATCAACTGAATCTGATAGAATAACTTCCAATCCAATGAACCGTGTGAAATGAACAAATCGTAAAAGGCAATAATGCAATTTCTCGAAATTCACACAACTATGTCAGTGAAATTCCAGGCAGTTTTTCCTTCAACTTCCCATACTTCATTCTGTTTTTAAACTTCTTTGGATTGATGCCATAAGCACGAAGTCGCTCATCACTCAGTTTGATGCCTTGGTCACTGTTTTCAGGAACATTCTGTTCTTTCTTGCGTTTCTTGGAAAGCCTTCTCTCAGACAACTCTTCCTCCATCCGTTCCTTCTTTTTCCTCTTTTTGAGTACATTTTTGCTGGAACTGGGAACCTTGCCTGAGTTCCCTTCAAAAAATGCCACTTCATTCTTTTCTCCTTTCTCCTTACTGTGACTTTTGGTATCATTCCCACTCTCATCCAGTGGGATATTTTGTATGGTGTCACCTGATGATTTTCCAGCTTCTGTCGAAGCTTCCTTCTTTTTCTTCCTCCTCCTCCTTCTCTTTTTCTTCTTTGATTCTTGGGACTCATCTTGTGTCCCATCCTGACCATGCTCAGCTTCTTCAAAGCCTTCCTGCTGGTAAATGCTTGAGAAGATCTTCTGCTTCAGAGCAGTGTTCCTTGCTTTGTTTTGGTATGCATGAAAGTCATATTTCTCCTGGTCATCACCCCGATACTGACAGGCCTTTTTCAGGCTCACCCATCGATTCAATTCTCGGTCTTCGGCAGCCAAGATCTCATCCATGTTCAGGCCAAAGTCATTTGGAAGGACCTTACGGTACTTGAAGCGACATGGAAGGTCCCCGATGAGATCCTCAAAATCCAATTGATAATACTCATCAAAGTACTCCTCAAATGTCTTCTCATTGGGGTCAAACAGGGGCTTCTTCTTTTTCAATGCCTGTGCAAAACGTGACTGCCGCCTATGCTTCTTTCGCCTAACCATGTCATCAATCTCTTCCTTGACTACTTGGCGTGGGTTATATTCACAGTCCATATTAAAGTCTGGATCTTCACAGTGTGGCTCATATTCATTGTCATGTCTTGAAACACTCTGGTCATTCAAGCCTCTCCCTTGATGAGGCTTAGTGACATCAAATTCATCCCAGTCTGCCTCATCATCAGTCTCATCATCATTGGGAAACACTGGTTTCTCAGAATCACTTCCCTCTTCATAATATTCATCACTGAAGAGTTTTTTCATACGTTCATCATGCTTGCTTGGATCAAAGTCCTCCTCCAAATCCTGGTCACAGAAGCCAATTTCTTCATTTCCTGTGATCTCCTTCAATTTCTCAAGCTTCTCTTGAATCTCTTTCCTCTTCAATGCTTTGAGACGCTTTAATTCTTCCTTCTTCTGCTCTTTCTCCATGTGTTTTCTCTCCCGTACCTCTTCCCTCTTCCGCCTACGGCGTTCATCTTTCTTCCGCAGTGACTCATTCATGGTACGGGGATACTGCTTGATAAATTCCTGGTCTGGCTCTTCAAACCGGAAATTGTACACATGCTCAAACTTTTCTTGTTTCTCCACTGTTCTTTCATCCTCAGAGAGATTCTCATCAGAATCATGTACAATTTCATCATAGGTAGGTATACGGTCTCCATTATCATCATCTCTATACCTACGGTTCAAAATATAATCCCTGAGGAAAGCCTCACCTTCATCCAAATCACTTGATGTCCATAATTTCTTCAATGGTTTGACATCCTCTTCCAGCTTCTTGTCCTTGAGCTCTGCCTTCTTCCCCTTAAGCCAATTTATATACTCCTCCTCTTCCTGCTGAGTCTCTGCAGCAGTCTTCTCCCGCTTGATCAGAAGTTCATTTTCATCATCTGAATTTTGAAAAATATTCTGGAACTCCCGTTTCAGTTCCTCCTGCTCTTCTATGTATGTCCTGTCTTGCTTTTGAGATTGTTCAACATCACTTTCTTCATCAGATAATTCCCCATGCTTATCCACAATGAGATGTCTTTCATAATCTCTCAGGAGAAAAGGCTTGTTCTTGTGGATTGATTTCTGTCTTGCCACATTAGAATTCTCAGGGAACTTCTCATTATAGAATTTTGCTGACTTGTCATAGATCTTTGGATCCTTTGCCTTCAGTGCTGCCAGAGCCTTGAAAAACCCCTTTTCAATTTCAGGATTCAATTCATCTGCATTCTCATCCTCTAATTCAGAACTGCTATCACTGTGGAGCGATGCATCATCACCATACCGATCCTTTAACTTTTGAAATTCCTCCTTCTCTCGCCACTTGGTATAGTTCTCTGCATAATCTTTGTTGATGGTGAATTTGACATCTTCACCTTCATCATCATCGCACTCAAGAAGTTTCCTGTGTCTTGACATTTACCTTCTATCCCTTGAACAAAGGCTTCAAGTGATTTCCTGTTCAACGAACATGCACGAAAACACTTATCGTGCCAAAGGTAAGAAGGCACAAAAAAATAATCACAAACTCACTGTAGGCCCTCTAGTCAGGTAAAAAAAAAATACCGTGCCTCAATGCCTTCACAGACAGAGACTTATAAATGGCTTCGAAAACAGGCCATTATCAAATCTTTCAAACATGCAAATACTGTGAGCTTGGTGGCTCGCCTATACTTCTGACGTGTTTTAGACGCGGCAAAAAAATGCTCTCTGTTTATAAGCCTAGTAGCTAATCAAAATCCATTCAGTCCACCAAAGATTGTACGCATGCAACTCGAGAAAGCGCAACAGAGAATGTGCAACGAAGAAAATGAACCGAAACCCTCCGAATACGACCCCACCCAAAGCACGTGGTCACTACGATGGATGACGATTAGATCCATCCCAAACAGTAGATGTCTCTCGCGTTCCAGCCTCTCAACAAATGCCCGGAGCGGCCGCGTGCAGCTGGCTGGCATATGGCGCGGCACAGGGGAGGATTCCCTGTCCGGTCCTGCTCTCTCCTTTGTATTGGAACGATTGCGATAAATCAGTTGTTGGTTCAGCTGAGGTTTAGTTAAAGAGGCAAAACTTCCCGGTTGCAAGATGCCTTCAACAAAGAAATTCAAAGACAGCGGCAATAGCAGCCAAGACGCCTCCAAGCCAGGGACTTCGAATCCCAAAGCTGCGCCTTCCTCTTCCGTCAACGTTCAGGAACTCTTCGTTCAAACCTTTGAAAGTGAGTTGGCCCTAGATTTCGAAAACTCTAGGCTTGCAGTTAGTGAGAGTGAAGTAACTTTCTTTTTATTTTCTTTATTGCAGAGCCGACGCAAATCTACAGATACCTTCGTACAAGGATTTTGAATTCTGTGAGTGCACGCTTTGCTTTGCTTTCCCTTGTACAACTCTGCCCATTAGGACCTCAACTTGCTCTCTTTGGAGTACTCACAGAACCGTTTTACGACCAATAAGTGATTGAAATGCTTGTCTTCTTCTTTGAAGGATGAAACAAGAAAAGGAAAATAATGAGAAATTAGAAGACAGGTTGAGATACTGCAATGATATAAAATGCCCCCATTAGCTGCTTCTTGTGCAGGGACTATGGTTTAAGGCAAGCAATAATGTTTTTGGAGAAATGGCAGCCTTAAGACAAAAACAATAAGTATTCATTAGCTTTACATAGGGATGACCCATTCATTGCTGGACTGTGTCTGGCTGGAGGATGGAATGATGTCTTAGATGTCCTTGACATAATGCTATAATTATTTTTCACTTCACTGTCTACTAATTAACAAGAATGGGGGAGTCCTATGTCATCCCTGTTTGTGGTTAGCCTCACCCCATCATGCAATGCAATTTTTGGACTGAAATCACATGCAGTGAATTTTTCCTTCCAAGTGGTTGTGGTTACTTGATAAAAGAGACTGCACTGGGTGATAAAAGCTTTAAGGGCTGATTGAGAGGAAAGAAGAAGTTGAGAGAAACTGAATAGTAGGCTCTTAATCCTTCTGTTGCTGATGTCTTCAGTGATCACTTTTTACAAGTACCCCAGCCTAATATTATTGTGACAAAAAATCATTTTTGCTCTGGTACTATATAAATCACATATTTTGACACAGAAAAATTGCAAATTAATATTTACAAATTTTTATTATTTTTTTAATTTGTGATGTCAAGTGACAATTTGAATTAGATACTGAAAAAAAATTAATGAAAGGATTAACATAGGGTACATCTAGGACCCTGTTTAGTAATGAAAGGTTTAAATAATTTTTTAATACCTATATCTTCTTGTGACCATTTTAAAGTTACTGCTTTCTTCTTTTTTATTCGTGTCATGAGGTTGCAAGTAGGAGATAATACCTTGTACATGTTGTACCTGGAAGAGTCATGCTCTTTTGCTTTCTCTCAAGGTCAAAGTTACAGTTCTCTGTGTATCTGCATCATTGACCTGAAGCCTATCAATAGTTTGGTGTGGTTCTCTAGTTCTCTTTTGATTAGAATACTCCATACACATCTCCATCTAAAGCATCATTCTGTTCTTCCCACTGAGCTAAGAAAAAGAACTTGAGATGGCACAACTGTTGGAACAGTATGTGTGCTGCAATTAGAAGCCATATTTGTTGGGATCATGGCAGCTCGTCACCATTCACTTCAATGGGATTTTCCCTGGCAATTCATGTGCGTTGATTCATAGAGGTTTTTGGAACAGCTCTTCTGAATACAGAAGCATGCCCTGCCAATTCCTGCCAATGCCTCTACCTTGCACCTTGTGGTTGCCCTTCATCTCCTTTAGCCTATGCTTTCCTATGAATATACACTTGAGGTTTGTTTGACTTTTTCCTTTGGACCTGCAGTAAAATAAGTCAACTATGATGATGCAGGGGCAGCATAACGTTATCACCTTTGTAGGCCCAGCAGACTCAGCATAGGCAGGCCTGGAACTTGAGACCCACTCAGGAAATTGGGGACTCGCACCCTTGAAAGAAAAAGATCTACGACCTGATGTTATCAAGCATATGATACTGTTTTCTGATTGAATTCATACCCCCCTATGGGAGCGCTTCCATTGATTGCAGGTAGTGACATCTCACACATGGGTAGTTTTGTCTATCACCTGCTGAAGCGGAACCTCTTAAAATTTGTGTTTTCTCTATTCTCCACCATAGGGGGTGGTACGAATTCAATCTGGAAACTGTACGAATGGAGAAGAGCTGCCTTGGTCCCAACCACAATGGCTTCTAAATGCAGCAAATCTGTTTTATTGTGTACCACCTCTAGTTCTTTTTCTTAGCGCAGTGGTTCTTCCAAGACATTCAATTCAAGTGAAAGTGGTTTCACCCTGTTGGATGATTGATGGGTGTCTTAAGTATCTCAGAAACCATGAATATTTTTATCCAGTCCTACTTTAATGCATTAACTGCCCAATGCTATTTTGCCTTTTTTTTCCATGTGGCCAAGCTAATTTAATCCTAACTGCATATTTGATGCTGGTAGGATGTATGGCCCAGGGAATATGAGAGCATAAAGCTCAAGGGCAATTGATGTACTAAGAAGGGTATTGATGTACAAAGGACCTTTAACTGATCCTTGAGAAAGGTGTAATATTATTCATGCATATTACTGATACCAAGTTCTTTTTGTGTCTTTATTTGCAGCCAATCTTTCTCCAGAGAACCCTCACCTATGTGGTCCAAAGCCGAAAGAAATCTGTGTCAAAGAGAGAGAGTCGGAAGAAATTCAAGGTGGATTCCATCCTTCAGACTATGCTTTCCAAACAAGAAGGGCAGCCAGAGCAGGCATCTGCATATCTAAGCCTTACATTCCTGGGTCTGCATTTCAAAGTACAAGGTGAGTTATGGATTGGATGAAGGATCCCACATTAGGTATATTATGCAGGCAAAATTAGTGAAATTAAATCCAACTGGTCCACATCTTAGACATATCAGATTCTGCTGAAGCTGAAGTCTTCCTCCTCCAAATTGGCCACAAGAAGCGAAAAGATGCTAGTTCAAGTCATCAGGCAAGTGAACTGAAGACACTAGCATAATCCCATGAAAAAGTTGCTGCTGAATATGATTACTGTTTTTGTTATTATTTTCTTCCAGGTGCCTTTGGGGAAATGCAGCATACCCGTGAACCCAAATTCGGACCGTCCACCTGCTACGGCTCCAGTACTTTCTGTGGCACCATCTTCCTTTTCCATTAATAACGGACACCAAATCAAATCCTACAACCTCCTCTTCCGCATCACAACATCTTCTTCAGCTGCAGATGATGCAGGTGAATGGAGCTCAATGCTACAAGAGTGCCTCTTTCATGGATTTAAGGATTTCCATCTGTATTCTATAGAGGAGCCAATGCACAAGAGAAGACGATTGCGGGGTTCAGTACCTTTCAGCGATGAGAATCTGAGTCCAGCTGAACCCATGCTTCTGGTTGGGGAATTAGTGATTTATGACAGATCTGGCCGCTGCCTTCTTTTCCCTGGTGACTATGAGCTGGTCCTTAGCTCCATTTTGCATGCCAGCACCACCAAAGGATCCCCAAAGAAGCAGAGGATATGGGGAACCATTGACAATACTGAGGTAAGTGGGGGAACTGTTGAGTTTAGATCAGAAAGATTTTATGCAACATCACCTCAACTATTTAAAAATATCAAAGAGTGATTGAACAATAGGATGAAAGTAAATGAAACATGACTAGAGTAAAAGTATATAATTATAAAAAGAATTAGTGAAATCCAAAACAGGATGTTACAGAACTTTTGTGGCGTCATAATTAGGTGGGTGAAGCATTTGATGCCCTTGAGAAAGGCCCGGTGTTGAAGTTCCGCCTGAATTGGGGCAATGAACCAGCCAAATCAGAGATAGAATGGCCTACACCATATCAGCCGCTCAAATGCCGTGAGAACTCCAGTGCCTGTGCTTCAGCCAAAGAGAGGAGACCAGGTTCGCTTTATTCTGGATGTTTTGTTTTTTCCTGATTTGAAGCCTTGGATTTTTTGTGCTGACCTGTCACTGTTGCCATGTAGCCATGATGAGGGAGGGAAGTCGTGGGAGTGAGGAGAAGGAGCGTGTCATCTACCAATTCATCTGTGGTCAGAAGACTGTAGTTCACACAGAGATGCATGAAGATACTGTGTGTCCATGGTGCAGTCTCTCTTGCAAGTCACTGTACACTCTCCTCAAGCATCTGAATCTCTGCCATGCAAGGCTCAACTTTGCATATGTGGTATGCTTCTTATGTGGATGTTTTGACTGAAATTTTCTTATTAATGATGCATCCTGTGATGTTGCTTGTATTATAATGTAGGCAGAGAAAATTTTATTTTTTAATATTCCAATATTTATTTAATCCCAGGATGTACATTTAGACTGCATCCAGGTGTAAGCAGAAGGATGCTTATGGATGGATAGGGTTCTGCCATTTCTTGACACCTTAATATGTGATTCAAATAACAGTCTGGCTGAAGGTGCTAATGTCATTAACCCTTTGAGGACTGTGAACATACGGGTACCTTCATACTCCAGAATGGTTTTTAAAAAAAAGTAAAGGAGAAACATGCAGAAGTTTTGTGGTGCTTTTTTTTCTTAACTCAACTATAGTTTTAGTTTTTAGAGGATGTGTTTACAGAGGTATACCCAAGTGTGACAGTCAAGGGGTTAGTTCAGATGAAATGAATGAATGCATTGATTAAACCCTAAGAAAAGGCTGTTACAAAGTGTGTGGGATCTTCTTTTCCAAGTTTCTAGGGCTTTTAAATAATAACTCAAATTCTATACATCAGATTTTCTGAAAGGGAAAGGGGGATCATAAGTAACAAACTCAAAAATGCCTTCATTTTTCTGCAATGTCATTAATTCAGTTGCAGTGTATGACAAGGGTTCTTCTCTTCTAGCCATTGTCTCAAGGAACAACACGTATTGATGTGACTTTGAATGAGGCGTACGATGGATCATACTCTGGGAACCCAACAGACATGATTGCCCAGCCAATGACATCTGCTGCATTTGGGAAGATGGGACCAGAACGTCGTGCCCCCATGACAACCATCATGGTCTGTCGGCCCAATCGTCCTCATCCCTCCCTCTCGGAATTCATGCAGGAATCTGAGGAGAGCGAAAGTGGGCCCACCCCTCGTCCCTACATCACCGGTCATAATCGGTTTGTCATTCTAACAACTTCACTCATTTTGTTAAGGGTTATATCATTTGCTACAAAGATTGTATGGTGTTTTAGGTTGTATTACCACACAACAACTTGTCAACCGATCCTGGCAAGGGAATTGGACATGGATTCTGAAGGAGAAAATGACCCTGAATGGCTGCGAAAGAAGACTCAGATGATGATTGATGAGTTCACTGATGTAAATGAGGGAGAGAAAGATCTTATGAAGCGATGGAATCTACATGTGCTTAAGCATAAGTATGTCCCTCATCCCACTTTTTATTTTAATAAGAAATCAGAAAAAAAAAATTTTTTGAAGGATTGCAAAAAATATTTATTATGAGTGAAAAAAATGCTGGAGAGATATATGAGATAAATAACAGAACTTCCTGAGCTATTAATTCAGGACCTGAACAAAAAATATTCTAAGTAAAGTGCATGATAAGGCATCACCTTGGAAGATGATTTACATTATATAACCACTATCACAGTTACATTGCATGGCAAGACACCAAGCAGGTAATATTCTAAATGGGATACATGTACCAGTACTGAAACAGTAGGTGTGCTGGTTTGATCATCAGTATTTTTTTTTAACTGTGTGAAGTTCTATTTGGCATAAGCTATGCTTTCAGTTCTAGAATGCTGAAGCTAGGAAGATGGTATTTTATATTGAAAATCTTGCCAGACATCATAGTGGACCCATTCCTATTGTTCATGTCTGTTATTCCTCATAGCTTTGTTGGGGACTGCCAGCTCCCTCTAGCTTGTGAGATGTTTGTCACCTCACACGGAGATGGACTCCTCCGCGATAACCTCTACCGAAACTTCATCCTCCATCTGTGCAGCATGTATGACTATGGGCTCATCCCACCATCTGTGATCCTGAAAAGTGCCAAGCAACTCCAAGAGCGACTCTACAAAGACCCCAAGCTTGTTAAGGGTTTCAGAGCAAATTACCAACAGCAGATTGACCAATGGCTGCAGCAGGGAGAAGACACTGAACCCCATCCTCAATCTGAATCAAACAATGCCCTTCCTGATCCCACAGCAGCTAATGCTGAGGTGAAGCAGGAATGAGAGCGGTTATTTTACCATTGTGCGGATCTCATGGATGACATTTAACACTGCCATGCATTTGCCTCATGTAGGCAAATACTTCCAATTTTCTTCTGTGTGCTTGACATTTCCCATGAGAACACTTGCTCGGTGTGCACTTGCGTATTTCTCTTCTCTTTGTTCTTGTTACAACTTGCGTAATGTCCGTACCCATCTTATTCCTCCACACCACTTGTGCTCTACAATGTTTGATTTTTCCAGATTGAGGACTAATTTGGATCTTAGGCAACCTGACTGATTTTTGTTGAAACTGTATGTATATACATATCTCCTGAAGCTATTCTGATAGATTCCATCAGGATATATTCATTCTTTAACTGTGATAAACCTACCTGAGGTTCAGTGCGACAAAATTCCCTTTGTGTAAATCCATGTTCATGATGAAATGCAAAGCATTCACCAAGACCGATGCAATTGCAATCTTTTGTAGATACTGGTGAAATGATGACTACTTGCTAGGCTTGCTAGAAGAATTTTTGAAATTGCCGAAACGAAATATAATCAGTCAAATTACTAGCTTCTTCTTTCACCCCTTCTCTGCCATGGATGCCATCAGTGCCTCTGATGATCCTCTGCATGAATTTGAATATTTTTGAAGAATGAAAGGCATTTTAACTGTCACATCCCCTTCACACTTTTCAGATTATTTTATTTGCTTTGCCACGGTAGTCAGGTCCTGAATGCAGGCACTGCATGTGAATGTGTCCAACACACCTGCGTCTGTTTACGGTATCGTCACGAGTTAGAATGAGTGTGCTGAGTGTATGAAGTGTACAGATGCGCAGCATTATCTTTCTATCTTCCACAAAACCAGCTCTTTCGTCCTCTGATAGCAGAAGAACTGTTGAAACTCATCCTCGATCACACTGGCCTTGAGCCCCTTCAACTTTCGAACCAGTGAGACGAAATATTCGTACATCGGGGCCACGGTGTCCAACTCCTCCACCGTGAAAACATACCTGCAGACAAAAGAAAAAAGACCCCGCTGTATGAAATTGAAATGAAGGATTGTTTGATTGAACTGCGAGCGAATGGGGCTGAATGATGCATGGCAAGGCACTTGCCTTTTCTCCAGGGCGATGAATGCTGCCTTTATGCTCGGGTACAGGGAAAAAAGGGCCGTCACGGTTCCCATGAACGCCTCGGTCAGCTCATTGTGATACACGACTAAAAGTGGAAACATGACAGAGTAACTCTGTGAATTCGGTGTGTATTACCGACTTCGCAAACTTTTTTAAAATTCCATTTAACTGAACGTGTTCCACGTGGGGGAAACGAGGAGACACCTCCAAAATTCAAAGGCTTTAATCGACAAGGGTTCGCGAATTTCCAGCACGGAGTGATTTGATTACCCTCTCCTTAACGTACAGACCGGAAGCCCTTTTAGTCCCATCTTCACACGATTCCCTGAGAAAATCCCTCAAACCCAGCAATGACCGTCCTCAAAGAACCCCCGTTAGAAAGAAAAAAAAAACTCAGCGAAGCTCATCCCTGTCCCCCCGACTTCTGCCATTAACCGCCTTACTCTCGGGTCCGTCGCTGTTCTCAGAGACATGGAGCAGAGGCTGAGAGCAAATGACCTTGGGGTCAATCGAGCGTGGAACGAGGCTGTAACGTCACTTTCAGCCGATACCACTCGTTCACATCGCCTTCCGGTATAACTATCTCGATTCCGATCGGCTTTTGACGGTTCGAGAGAAAAAGTTCAATGTATTTCGCGAGAACGAGCATCGCTAGAGCGAAATCCTGGCAAACGGCACCCCAATCACGCGCAATCGAATGTGAAAGTCATTCAACCGGTCGAACGGGGCGACACGGATTAAAACGGTTCTTGTTAAGACCGCCAATGACGCATGAAAAAACATGCAAGAGTCGTCGATACTTCAAGTACCATTTGGCCACTCGTTAGTTCCGACACCACACGACTACAGATGCCAGCAAAGCATCAAAGCATGAAAAAGCAACCCGAGGAAATAAAATAGGTCCTCGCATCGGGACACGAACGGGGACCAGCGACAGCGGGGAATCACAGATCCCCTACGGCTCGCCCCCCTCCCGTCCCCTCCCGTCCCCTCCCCTCCCCTCCNCCCCCCCCCCCCCCCCCCCCCCCCCCCACATGACATGAGATGGCATTCCGAGCCCCATCATTCCATGCCTCTCGTGTTTCTTCCTCCGCGCTCTCTCTCTACATACTCCATGTCGATCAATAAAACGAAGGGCAGACTTCATCCTTTTGATTTTCTCGTTCCGTCCAGGTCAACTCAGGCTTGCACTTCCTATCGAATCGGAGCGATTTAGCAACCGTAGCTGGACGGGCAGGTCTTAATTTCAACCGCATTTCCTCGTTCCCGCACGAAATCGTGTCAATCAGTGTCTACATTTCCCTGTTCGCTCCCGCACATCCCTCGACGTGAGAACAAAGAAAAAAAAACAACAGAGTTACTAGATGAACATTCAGCCGAAAGGATCGCGACAACACGCGAATGCCGGAAAAAAAATTCGTTGTCGCCGGACAGAAAGCCGAAAACATGTCGGCCAGAAACTCACAAGTGCGGTATCTCGTATTAAATAAACAGGAAAACCCCTTATATAGATTCAACTTCCGGCTTCCACTCACGCAAGTTGCGTATAACATTCTCGCCGGGGAAACGCACCTCACTTTTTTTTTATCGCGCATCACACCCAGCACAGACACGTTGTGCAGAATTCCACCTGCATTTAGCTTCCAAACGATACGACGTTTTTCCGCGTGTCTTATTCCTGGACCATATCCGGCGTATCGGACATGTCCGGTGTCTCGGAAATGGGCTCCGGAGGACGATGACCGGCTGGCTGGCCATCTCGTCCGGCGTTCGCCGGGGGTTCCTGGAACCGGCTCGTGAATGAAATCGGGAAAGTCTGGCTTCGTTAATATAAAAATGAATTCCCCCTTCGTTGTCTCCGACCGTATCGGCAGGGGAGGAAATAAATCGGCGGAAAGATAGGAACGGAGCGGATGAGAGATAAATTCAATTGTATTACGTTACTTTGTCTCATCATGAAACAAAATAACCCGGGCGAACATAAATCGCATCGCTCCCTTTACCGCATGCCTATATACCGACGAAATACCATCGCTCATGCATACGTCACGATAAAAACAATCCATGACTTAATGGCAATACATCCCCTCATTACCCGAGTTTTATTAACGTCCCAAGCCCTTTCTGCTTCACCCTTTATACAGTTCGCAATCGTGATCCCTAACTTCCCCCTTTAATTCTATCCAATCGGGTGGATAGATCCGTTACTATACTTGCTCAGCTGTTCCAAGTCATCCCTTTCCCCGCTAGATGTCTCTCGTGAGACGAAGCGAAGGGTGCAGGCGCGATTAGGTCCAGCGCGAGTCGCGTTCCAAATTCCGATCGGATTACTCCAGCCGTTGCGCAATATGTCGTTTAGTCAGGCTATTTTTTTTTTACAAATACCTCGGGATATAATGTAAGAAAATACGTGAACTGCGTTTACCGAGTCACACAATCGAAGATAAAATCCTGAAAATTTGCTTTCGATTTCTTTCAGCATTTCCCCCCCCCCCCTGTTATGCATGAGCGCGAAGGAACGACATTAATGGTGACATGCACCAGATCTTTTAACGTTAAACCGATTCGTTTACATAATGGGTGTCTATGGGAATAAGTTTATCTAAATTAAATTAAATTAATTCGGTTAAATTGATTCCCACAGGCAGTGGCGTAACTAGGTAATTTGCCGCCCGGGGCGAGTGACTGGTACTGCCGCCCCCTTGCTAATTGTTATTTTCACATGCACACGTTTTACTGGAGAATGAGATTTATTAAATATTTCTACGGCCCCCGTTGGGGGTTGGCAATCCCCTCGCCCCAGAACTGCATTAATGCCCCCCCCCCCCCCCCTCCTACCCCATTTATCTTTCCATCGGAAAGATTCAGGCCGATTTGTGAGAGTTTCAGGACGCATGGAGCACTTTTTGTACTCCAAACCCCTTGCTTTTCAAGTCCACTTGCTTCGCTATCTGCTTGATGATGGTGAAAATGAACAAATTTGAAGATTAATTATTGTAAACCTCCTGAAACTATTTTTTTTTTCGGATATTAAGCCTAAAATTTTTTGATTGCCCATCGTCAAGGGGCTCCAAAACAAGGCAACGATGCTTCTCGAATACTTTTCGAGCCACTTCATGGAAACCATACGTGGCAAACCGGCAAGAAAAGAGATCGTAGAGTGTTACCGTCAGCGGCTATGATGAACCGGAGAGAATCGAGTTTCTCTCGGGTGTCCTTAGGCCAGAGAGAGATCTGATCCTCCACGGGCCGGGTCCAATCCAGACCCAAAACTTCTATTTCCCCTCGCAGGAGAGACGAGTTTCCCTCCACGTTCGCCCTGCACTGTTCCAGGATCGTCCCCACGTCCACATCTGAAAAAAAAAATTCAGTTCTGCACTTTCTTCTGCAAATCGTTATTATTATCGATTATCGTTTACCTGTGGCAACGACGTGCCTCGCCCCTAGGGCCGCAGCGACGACGCTCGTGAGCCCCGTCCCTGCCCCCAACTCGAGCAGCACCCCGTCGGTCAGCGCCTCCCCGCGGGACACGAGGAAATCCGCCAGGTACAGCGCCCCCCGCCACACCTGCTCCCCCACCCGCGCCAGCGGCGTCCGGGTGCTCTGCCCTGAAACGGCGATCGAGCGGAGGCGTCAGTCGATTCGACCGGCCTTCGCGCGGGCGTCGAATCCCCCGGTGAATCGAAGGCGACGGTAGGAAAACATTCGTGGGGCAGTGTCAATACGCTTATGGCACGAAAGTACATACGTGTAAAGGAGTCGGATGAATTATGCGAGTGACTTGTCACATTCAGAATATTCGATGCGACAGGTCGGTCGACCAGTAAACCGACTCGTCACATCCAGAGAAAACTCACTGACGGAAATGCAGAACTCCTTGGGGCGTGATCGGGGCAGAAGCAGATCCCCATCTTCGTCCTCTCCGATCTCGTTCCCCCTTTCCTCGTCGAGTCCTGGGATGGAAAACCTGAACCTGGACTCGCCTCGAAATCCTGTCGTCGATCCACTCGATTCTGAATTTGGTCACGTCACGTGGGACTTACGATGCAAAAACTTGATTACCTTCGTTCGCTGTTTGATCGGGGGTGAAGTCGACCTCACAGCAGAGTTCCGATGTTACCGTTGCTTCACCCATTCCTCTCGGTCTCATTCCGCCAACTGAAAGGTCATACGAAACTGCAAGCGTGGAAGCCTGCCAACATCGTTTTGGCAAGTATCAATGACCCCGTCTGAGAAAATGATGCCGCGTTCTACTTGTAGAAAGCCACGTCGGCCACCCCGCATGACATCCCCGGGCCTTCCTTTTTTTTTTATTTATGGTAATGCAACTTGTGAAACGTAGCACACTAAGCACAGCACAAGTGGGAAGGGAGCAGAGATACACGGATTGCCGGCACGTGATGACGTAGTGAAGTGTTGGACCAATGAGATTCCACCACGCTGCAGAGAGTCTCTTGCCACGTTGAGGCGTCTAGGCCCTGTCGTGGATGCACGGCCTCTTCCCCAGTCTCTTCCTCGGCCGGCTTGTTTGTGGCGGATGATCCATTCCTCTCTTGTCAAGGTGGGATAGGCGTACATTAGGTCTTCATTCTTGGCTGGATTTATTTTCGTGAACGATTTAAAAAAATTGGAGCTTTTCGGCTTTGAAATGGATTGGGTTTGACCCACACGATTGCCGGCTTGAGTTCCCGAATAAGCCTGTTTTGGGTTTAACGTAAGCTTCTGGGGAAACCTGTGATCCCTTGGCAAATGCGAGCTGTGTTGTAGACCTACTAGCCTATGCTATTGTAGATGGGCATCTTTCGGATTTGGGTTGGCTTTACCACAGGCTTTGGTGGAACTTACCCATTCCGTATAGACATATGGTTTAAGGTCCGAAAGGTTGCGGCAGGGTGGAACGACCGACGGCCATTTTGACTGGATGCCAGGGAGCCTCTCATGCAACTTTTATGAATAGTACATTCTAAAGTACTCAATGGTGAAAAGCCCTACGACGCAGGCCTGCGTTCTTTCATCGATATGAAGAATAGGCCTACAATCATACAAGTAACGAGCTTAGGTGTAACACATTCATGCATCCACGAAAATAATTGGTGCTCCTTTGTTCTTGACCTAAGACCTTGGTGGCATGTACATGTTACAAACTCTAGGTTTGATATTTTCTGGATCTCAAGTGGTTAACGGCCCAATCCCAGGCCTACTATAAATTATTCCTAGTTGTAAACAAATTACTCACTTTTCATTCACATTGGAGTTCAAACCTGGAGGATTTCTCTGAGTTTCCTGTTAAATACTGAATGGAACAGGTGGCAACCATATTTACAATTACCAAGATAAAGTTCTCACTATGTTTATGTAGGCATAGTTATATTTCTGGCTAGCAGTTGCTTATTTTTAATGATGTGGTTACATATTGGGCTAACAAATCCATTAATATGCTAGCATTGTGGTATATTTACATATTTTCCTGTGGCTCTGTATATTGACTATCTCTCTCTAATATCCATGTATTTGTCATTTTTCAGGTCAAAATCCACATTTTCCAACCAGTTCCATCTTTATACCTGGTCTCAGGTTGTGCCAAACTTCAAACATGAAAGTTCTGGTGTTTGCCTTCCTCTCTGCCTTCCTCCTCCTGGCAAATGCTGAGGAGGAGATCATGAAGGAGGATGGAGTCCTGGTTCTCACTCAGGATAATTTCAAGAAGGGTATAGATTCCAATGACCACGTGCTTGTGGAATTCTGTAAGTATTGGTGGCCATACATTGCTGTGATGAAAATGTAGTTGTGGAGAATTATGCTAGAATGTCCCTTACCTCACAGATGCACCATGGTGTGGACACTGCAAGGCCCTAGCACCAGAATATGCCAAAGCTGCCGAGAAGCTAGTTGAGATGTCATCAGAGATCAAGCTGGCCAAAGTGGATGCCACCCAGGAATCAAAGCTGGCTGAAGAGTATGGTGTCAGGGGGTACCCTACACTTAAGTTCTTCAGGAAGGGAAATGCACTTGAATACTCAGGTAGTTAGGGAGATTTTAGTGATTAATGTTGTGCTTGAATTTCAAGGAATAATTTTGAATTGGGCAATGTACCTTTGCAGGTGGGAGAACAGCTGATGAAATTGTGAACTGGCTTTTGAAGAAGACCGGTCCTCCAGCCAAGGAATTGAAGTCACCCTCTGATGCTAAGGCTTTTGTTGAAGCCAGTGAAGTTGCCATTATTGGCTTCTTTAAGGCATGTCTGCAATATCATGATCTTGATCCAGATTTTGACTGAGGGAATCAACCATTAATTTAAGATATTTCTCTTCAGGATAAGGACAGTGCTGATGCCAAGACCTTCCTTGAAACAGCTATGCAGATTGATGACTATCCTTTTGGTATCACAAGTGCTGATGATGTTTACACTGAATACAACGTTGTAGGGGACCAGATCGTTCTTTTTAAAAAGGTGAGCATCTAATTGATGAAGAACTTACCCCTCACCCCTCCTGCTCCCTTCCCTCCACAAATACACTCCTGTCCACCTGTAAAATTTGTAGGTGAGTTGAGGATCCTTGAACACTGTTAAAAGATCGATTCCTATACCCCATTCTTGCAGGTGTAATGCTTTGATCCCCAGAATGGTGTGAGGGGACATTTCAGATGAAAGAAAATCCATATTTTCAGAATATTTTTGTATGTTTTGGAGGATAGCATGACTTGAGAGATGGATCTTTCTGAATATGCTTATATTTAAGCATATTGTATGAGGATAGAATTGTAATTCTGTTTAGTTTTAGGAGGAATTCACAGTATGAACCTAATCCATCATGAACTTTGCCTACCTTTAAATTTGTTAGGATGTAAATGTACACCAAGCAACCAGGTCTAAAAATAGTGCTATTGTTTCTGATGGAGTGTGATTGCTTGTGATTTTTCAGTTTGATGAAGGCCGTAATGACTTCGATGGGAAGTTGGAGCAGTCCGAGCTTGTCGCATGGATTCAAGCCAATTCTCTTCCCCTGGTTGTGGAGTTTAATCATGAGTCTGCCCAGAAAATCTTTGGTGGAGAAATCAAGTCTCATCTCCTCCTCTTCCTCTCTAAGAAAGACAAGGACAAGTATGAAAAGAGCCTGGGGAATGCTAAGTCTGTGGCCAAGAATTTCCGTGAGAAGGTAAGAGGCACTTGCATTTTAACAGATCTTGGCTGTCAAACATGAAACAAATTTAATGCAATTGCTCTACATGATTCTGGCAGGTTGTACACTATTGTATTCCCTGACCTGGGTCAGGTTTTGACTGTTAATTTATGTGAAAAACAAAGGTAAAAGAAGAATATAAAAATATATAAATGCTTAATTGTTGGGAATATGGAGGAAAATTATGTTCAGCATTAATTCTCTTGAAGCTATGATATTCTGCTTGTTTTCCTTGGGACTGTTGGATATAGCCATTGTAACTGCCATGATTGCCCTGCCAGTTAGCTGTATAAATTGAAAGTAAAGAAATGGGAGAACTAAAATCATTGAAGACATTTAGGCCATCCATTGTTGTTGCTAGTTTTTATTCCTCATTTTTTCAACAGAAGTGCTAGACATGTTTCATGTTCTTCTGCTTGAACCTCATATCCCTTTGTTTATCTTGCAACCCTGTATTTTTATTTTCACCAGAATCTCCTAGTTGTTTGTCCTTGTCTGAGCCTGCAAACCTTCATGCGTCAGTTCTGACTTATTTAGGCAAAGTTAAATCAATGCCTTTTCACAACTCTTGCATGGCATGTGTCCTGCTCTCTAGCTTTTTCCTTTGAGCAAAGTGAAGCTGCTGAACACAGTGGTTATTTTGTGTAATATTTCTAAGTAAAGGCTCATAATTGCTTTTGTAGTTCAACTGCTTGTAAATGGAAAAGCAGCATTGCTTAAGCATTTTGTCGTTGACTTTTCTTTTTCCTGCCTGACTCAACCCCCCCTTTCTTTTATTTCTTCCTTTGTTCCTTTTTATCACCTTTGCACCTCCATATGACACATGTGACTGCCTAACAGGTCCTGTTTGTTGTGATTGACACCGATGAAGAAGACCACCAGAGGATAATGGAGTTCTTTGGCATGTCTGTCGATGACCTCCCTGGGCTGCGTATAATCAAGCTGGAAGATGAAATGACAAAGTACAGGCCTGCCTCTTCAGAAATGTCTGCTGAAAATCTCAAAAGTTTTGTCCAGGACTTCCTTGATGGCAAGCTCAAGGTGATCATCAGCTATCAGTTCCATATTTTTATGTAGATCTGTAGTTTGTTCTGAGGAGGCACACTTTTCAGGAGGAAGAGATGTCAAAATTCACATAATTGAAATTTTCATTTTTAGTTGTTTGCCTAGTATGGGCTATAAGCATTCAGTGCTTTTTGTTTGTAAGCCATCTTTGTCCCCATAATTTCATCTACTCCCTATGAGGCAGATGATATTTTTTGTGTTTAATTTATCTCTGGTGGATGAAATTTCTTGACATTTAGCTTCAGTATTCATTGAAACGTGCATACAGTTTCACTTTTTGATTGCATATGACTTATATTCCTAAGATGCTTCTGTTTGAGTTTCTCTATTATGGACCTTTTATTTTTGTTGGATTGATTGAAGTTGTTGTTTTGATGTTGACTGTTGTTTTGGGTGTGTTTACAGCCCCACCTCCTGTCTCAAGCACTGCCTGATGATTGGGACAAAAACCCAGTGAAAGTTTTGGCGGCATCTAATTTTGATGAGGTGGCCTTCGACAAGTCCAAGGATGTCTTGGTGGAATTCTATGCTCCCTGGTGTGGACACTGCAAGCAGCTGGCTCCCATCTATGATCAAGTATTGACTATCCTCACTCCTAGTAGCTTGTTTTTTATTATTATATATTTCAATACATCACTTTTTTTCATTCAGCTTGGTGAGAAGTACAAGGATCATGAGACCATTGTCATTGCAAAGATTGATGCCACTGCCAATGAATTGGAACACACCAAAATTCAATCTTTCCCCACCATCAAGCTTTATCGCAAGGAAGATAATCAGGTCTGTCAAAAAAATTTCAGTACATGTTGTCTAACCAGAACTTGAAAGTAATAGATTAGGATAAAATCTTCCAGGCAACAGAGTATAATGGAGAGCGAACATTGGAAGGCATGACTAAGTTTTTAGAGACAGGAGGCATCTATGGCCAGGCTGCCCCCGATCAGGTAAAAATTGATGGATTATTTATTAATTGCAAGTTTTTCTTTTCCTTCCTTTCTATGTTCTGGACTGCATGATGGCATTGCACCAACCTGATTCACTTCACCTGAACTGCCACTTTTGCATGGAAAACCATCCCTGCATGACCCGATTCAGGTGGTTGACTTCACGGGTTCTCGGACTCTTGAGGGACTTTCCGAGTTCCTTGAAGGCAAACCTGGAAAGGATAAGGTAAAGTCGCTTTAGTGACTGGCACCCTCCCATTCCTGCATTGTTCCTTAAGTATTGACTTTTTTTGGATTCTATTAATATTTGAGAATTTCAATCCATGCACATACAAGTTTTCCTTTAATCAAACACTTGATTGAGGACTTCTGGGTATAGTGCTCCATCAGTAATTCAGTTTCTCAGACTTCATTTGGAAGACTTACCTAATGTGGGAAGCATGGAAAGGAACCATCTCCATATGCAGGGAGTTCACAGGTGCATGATTCAGTCAATACATGACTGATTACTAATTGACTTAGCTCTGTTACTCTTCTGCATGCAGCACCTGTCAGCTCATCTAATGCTCACAAGTCAGTGTATGTAAGTAGTTTTACTTATTTATAATTGGAATGCACTCCCTCGCAAAAGTATTTGCAATGCTTTCTTGCAAAACCTCTGCACTTGTTCTCTCTAATTTGGAAAAAAAAGCATCATATAATAGCTTTTTCTTTGCAAAGCTGCAGTTAAAAGCACGCAGTGCACTATTACATTGGAATTCATCTTAGTGGCAGGTAGTATTGATTTAGCTTCACTAGCATGTTGGTTGCATGGCTGAATCTTGGCAATTATAATAAATTTTGCATGATTTCATTTTCTTACATCTGCTCTACAGGGCCTCTCAATGATTATTTATCTAAAAGTAAAATTTTGTTTCTCACAAAGTAGTAGATGTAGAAAAGTGAAAGTTGGCAGTAATCTGCTCTAACTCTCTACTGTTCATTCTATGTGGATGGCAGCACTGTAGGAAGCATGATGGTGACAACAATAAATCAGAAGGCGAAGTGTGTTTTTTAATGCAAAACTGGACATTGTTGGGCTTGAACAGTGTGAGTTCAAGTGTTGGTATGGAACAAGGAGGGCTCTAACATCACAAAGGATTCTGCATTGGTTTGGGCATTTTGAAGAAACCAGAATGGTGGTGTTATTGTTTACAATCAGCTGACACGTCGCAGTAGGCATATTCATGTAACTTTTGCAAAATTTACAGGACTTCTTGTCATTGCTGACTGAATTTTTTCCACTACGTCAAGCAGGCATGCATGGTTTTGATTATTCCCTGTTCCAGTTTTTCTAAATGCCTGAACCAACATATAATGCCTTGTGATGGAGCCTTCATTTTTCCATACAGCTGCTTGAAATCATGCTGTATGAGCACAACACTGTTCAGTTTTGCATACAAAAATACACACTTCAAACTTCTGCTTAGTCATAGTAGTAATTTTGCATCCTACAGTGCTGCCTGCATATGGAATGAAAAGTAAAGAGTTAGGCTAGATTACTGGAAACTTTCACTTTTCTACATCTACTGCTTTTTGAGAAATAAAATTTTACTTTTGGATGAATAACTTTGAGGATACCCTGTATATTCCCACAAGAACGGTCTTAGGAACCCATGCCTTGATGTTACAGGAGGAGGAGGAAGAGGAAGAGGAAGACAAGCCCAGCAAAGATGAGCTGTGATTTTCCCAGTCCTCCTTGGTGTGCAAATTGTTGGCTCTCTTTCTGATTCTCCATGAGTGTGATAATCGATTTTGCATAAGTGTAATGAATGGGAATTGAGTGTGTTGTGCATGTGTAATGCCTGCATTTCTTCATCATTGGGAGTGAGAGGACCAGTGATCACTCCCAACTGAACACGAGGAACGGGGGTGTGTGTCCTCTTTCCCGTGTGACAAACGGGTGCTAGGGACCAGTTCTCTTGTTTTTTGCGTTTTTTTTTTCTTGTTGTTGTTGGTGGTGTTCTTTACAGTGTTCAGCTTCCATTCCCCCCACATAAAATATTATATACTCATACATTCCAGGTCGGTTTACGAGAATTTAATGACCTTTTGACCTGTCACCCTGGAGCCGCTACTAGATTTTTT